ACACACACACACACTCACAGACCGACAGACCGACACACGCAAGCAGCCAAGCAACAAGCGCGCCTCAATCCCAATTCCCAGCCAGCTGGTCAGTCTAAGCAAGCCCTCTAGTCAATTTCAATCCATCCCGCTCTAAAACCAAAGCGACGCGAATGCGGATGCGGATGCGGATCAAAAAGGCTGACGAGCAAGCACGGTTCAGCACAGCACAGCATCTGCTTACAGCGCACAGCACAGCAACATCAAAGTGCGCTTACAAAAACGCGCGACCGTCTCGAATACAAACCAAAATAAGAATCAATTCCAAAAAGGAGGGGCTCGCTATCAGCCTCACATCGGCCACAAATGCGGTGCTTTGGTGTCTGTGTGTGAACTTGGAGAGGAGATTCAAATCCCAATTTGAAACTGAGACGTGTCGAATGTCTAATCATCTCCTTGCCTGGCTCTGTGGCAGTGAGCGCGCGCGGCCCTTCTTCTGGCGTCGGCTTGCGCTGTTGTGCGTCTGCAAGGCTCAGCTACCACCTTGCAACGGCCGCTCGTTTCTGAAATCTTCCAAACCTCACTCTCGAAAGAAGATCTCTCTCCCGCTCGTGTCACTCGGGGCTTGTCTCGGTCAAACGAAGCGCCTCACACGGAGCTGCTCCTGCTGTCATGCCCTGCGAATTAGGACGCAGATCAGCCAATCTTATTCGCTTTCTCTGCTGATCCCGAGACGTGTTCCGTTTCAATGAAGCTTGCTGGACAGCGTCGATGGATCCATTGCCCGACTGTAAGGAGACCCACCGGCTCTCTGATCTTCAAACTAAAGCCTTCCCCTCTTCAGTCACAAGAGGAAGCGCCGCTCGACTACGGAATTCCGTGCACTCGAAGTGGGCTTTTCGTGGGTCCCACAGCTGAACGATAAGGCTGGCCGTGTCGCGTGCCAAAGCTTTGCAAGCCTTCGAGACCAACAGTGCCGAGCCTCGAAAAATTGACCCGTGCGCTCGTCAACGCGTCTTGCTTTTCTTCGATCAACCGACACAGCGCCAGTAGCTCTCGCACGGCATACCAAGGTCTAACATCCTCCTGAAAAAGCTCACACCAAGAAGAATGTCACAGATCTGATACGCTCCTCTCGACGCTCTGGCTGGCGTTGAACGTAGACTCATTACAGGATGACAGACGAGAGCCGCCACAGTGCAGATCAAAGCAGCCGTTGAGGCCTCCGAGCAGGAAGCGCAAACCTAAGCGGCTCTTTCGGCTTCAAAGCAGATGAGGATCATGAACATAACTCATAAATGGCAGACGAAGCATTCCTGACGGGATCTGGACAATGCACAGTGGCGCAGGGCATGGGCTTTGGCATCTGTGCGCTGAGCAGACAGAATGCAGGTATTATTGCGGAAGCGAGGCAAAAAATGATGCTGAAATGTATGTGTTTTGTGCACCTAGACGGTACAGAATGCTGCTGGGAGCGACGACCGACGCTGAGGACGAGCAGGCGATGACGCGTTCGCGATCGAGCGACAACCATACAGCGCGGCGATGTAGGACCGATACCGATGCGCTTAGAGGTCACCGTCGTCCTCGTCGGGCAGAGGGGCGGCGGCGGCGCGCTGGAGCTCTGCGTCGTACTGGGCCATGAGGGCCTGGTCGACCTGGACCTCGGGGGGAGCCAATGCGGGGGCAGCAGCGAACTCGAGCGTGGGGTTGCCAACGAGCTTCCTCGCGAGCCACAGGAAGGGCTTCTCGAAGTTGTAGTTGGACTTGGCCGAGATCTCAAAGTACTGGAGGTTCTTCTTTCGGTGGAAGGTAACGGCGCCCGTCTTGACCTTGCGCTCCTTGACGTCGACCTTGTTGCCGCAGAGCACGATGGGGATGTTCTCGCACACGCGCTCCAGATCACGGTGCCAGTTGGGCACGTTCTTGTACGTGATGCGCGAAGTCACATCGAACATGATGATACCGCACTGACCCTGGATGTAGTAGCCATCACGGAGACCACCGAACTTCTCCTGTCCCGCAGTGTCCCATACATTGAAGCAGATGGTTCCGAAGTTGGTGTGGAACTGAAGAGGGTGCACCTCGACACCGAGCGTGGCAATGTACTTCTTCTCGAACTCACCCGTCAAGTGACGCTTGACGAAGGTGGTCTTGCCGGTACCACCGTCACCGACGAGGACGAGCTTGAACTGGGGGATCTCCTGGTTTTCGGCGGACATTTTGATGTGTGTGTTGGTGTGTAAGGTTGATCGAGTGGATGAGGGGGAGAAGGCAAAGGTTGTGTGCACGAGCAGTGGCAATGCACGGCGAGCTCTGTTTCGAAACTTCTTGACAGGCAGGCTCTGTTGGCAAGAAAATCTACAACACAGCGCAGCCTCTTTCGGTGACGTGAGTTCAACACAGAGGAGGAGACGTGCGTTTTCGGCCTGCCGGCCTGCTGGCTGGGCGGTCCATTCAAATTTTTTACTCAGCCTTGAAGCAAGGAGCCTCTTGCGCGACGAAAAAGGGGTGATCGAACGAAATGAAAGACATTCCACTTGCGCATGGTCCAGCGCCAAACCAGACGCGAATAATTTTCCTCGCTGGCCAGGTTTGCACAAAGTCGACCTTGATCGATTTGAATGATTCAGCTTGCTCTGGTCACAGCTTAACATGTGCGGAAAAATCGAGCCCGTATTCCGAAAACTGTGGAGGAGCGCAGCTCAATTTTTGTGTGAGAAGAAAAAAATTCGCAGCGGTAGCCAGGGTGCAGCAGCAGCGACATCAGATTCGAGGTTTCTTGGTCTTCATGTCAACGCTTGAAGCCATCAGGATCATCCCGCCTCCCTGCTCAGCGACAGTCACACTCAGCTCGGATTGCCCGTATCCGACGTATACAACGCGCTAGCTATTCGCTGAACGGACGACCTGGCAGCCGTCTCCGATCGGATCATCCTCTCGATCCCACGTCATATTGTCGGATCTGCCGACGTAGCTCGCAACCTCTCGCCCACAAAGCTTTCAACGGACCACTTCCGAGGCTTGCTCATTCATCGACGGACCACGTTTCAATTCCAGCACATTCTCTCATCGCTCATACCTCACGCGTCCCCTCTAGTCGCAATGTCGAAAGAGCTCAAGACCAAGAGCAAGGACAAGTCGAAGCGACGCGAGTCCAAGTCGGGCAGCGAGTCGCCCAAGAAGTCACGCAAATCCTCCTCATCCAGCCTACCCATCACCGTCACCGACGATGACTCCTCTGCCACGACTGCCGTCACCTCTTCCGTCCCCTCGTCATCGCGCACCGTCAGCACAGCATTCGAGACCCTCTATCCGATCCTCAATCTTCCCATTCCGCCCGTATGGACGTCGGACCCGTACTCGGCATTCTCGGACCTGATGGACACCCTGGTCATGCGCTACGTGCCTCAACTCTCCGGCGTGCTGATCACGCATTCTCCCACGCGCTTCCTGCAGGACACCGCCGTCTTTTCTGCCGATTCGGCATTTGCAACAGCCCAAGTCGGGTTCGAGTGCACGGTCTGGCGGCCTAAGATCGGGCAGATGCTCGAGGGGACCATCTGCCTCTCCTCGCCTTCGCACGTCTCCCTTCTCCTATATGGCCTGTTCAACGCGTCTATTCCGGCGTCGCATTTGCCGGAAGAGGAATGGGAGTTTGTGTTGAACGATCCCGATGCGGTGCACACCGACCATGGGTTGGGGCACTGGCGCAACCGGGCCACTGGCGACCGTCTGGGTGGGGAGAAAGGCAAACTGGAATTCACAGTCATCAGTCTGACCATTGCCAACCACATGCTGTCGCTGCACGGATCGCTCTTGGACGACCCGTTCAAAGGCCCACCACCCACGCTCGACAGGAGCTATCTCAAAAAGAGCCTGCTGCCCACTCAGGCGCTCGGACTCGGATCTGCCGCAGCAGCACGGGAGAGCCCAGCTGCAACCCCACCACGCCGCGTCAGGTGGCAGGACGAGGACGATTCCGAGGCGGTAGAGAGCGACGATCCGAGCAAGTACGAGACCCCAGCCGAGGTGGTCAAGGCCGAAGAGAGCGAGGGCAAGAAGAAGGGGAGCAAGAGCAAGAGGAAGTCCACATCAGCGGTTGAGGTGGCCGCAGACACGGATGGGTTGAATACGCCATCGCGCGAGAAGAAGAGGAGAAAGGAGACGTAATTTCGTCGTCAGCGTTCGCTTCCCAGCATCGGTATCGATTCCGCTCTTGCACGCAACATTGCAATGGTTATCATCACTGTCACATGGCGGGACTTGGCTTGAAAGAGGCTCGGTGATGATGGTGCATTTCGTGAGATGACATCTTGAAACTGGAGCATTGAGCGCGCGGAACGCAGCGCAGGGCATATAAGCATGATGATGGGTACGATGATATGAAAAGGGGAAAGACGCAGCAATTTTGGTCTGCGGACAGCGGCTGGGCACCATACGTGACTGTCAACGGAGTGTCGCAGCTGACGTGGGCCCAAGGACGCTGCTGCAAGTTGTGTGTCATGTCGATTCGTGATGGGGTTGGTGCGAGCAAAGTGTCGCTTTTGGGGTCGTGATGGATCGAGGGCAGCCAGCAGTCAGTCTTTCGTCACGCGCTGGCCTACGACCTCTTGCTCTGGCCGAAGTTCTTGGCCATGCTCTGAAACTCGCGAGCCAGCTGCTGTCGCCTTCGCAGCTTCTCGGGCTTGTTCCTGAGATCGGGGTCCGACAAGAGCAGGATCCGCTTGACGCGCGTGATCAAGCCCTTTTTGCCCTCGAGCTGGATCTCCATCCAGTCGTAGCGCTGAATGCACGATTCGAACTTCTTAAACTCGTCAGCATCCAGCTCGTCGCGAAACTTGAGGTAGATCTGCCTCTCGATGCCGGGATTTCCGCCACTTGATTCCCTCGCCGGCGTAGGGAGCATGAATGAGCCCGGGCTCGAGGAGGCGATGCTCATCTCTGAGCGTGTCATCAGCTGGTCTTGAGCAAGATATTCGCTTGCAGCCATGAGCCGCTGCGAGGTCGTAGAGCTGTCGCCTTGGCAGTCGAGACCCGTGGCAGCAAGTTGCTGCGTCAAGAACTCCGGTGAAGGCTCTGCCGAGTGAGCGCGAAACGTCTTCTTTTCGCAAAAGACATCCTCAATAGCGACAGGGATCGCATCGTGCACGCTGCCCGTTCGACTACGACTGCGCTGGCCCGACTGTGTGCTCAACCTCGAAGCAGCACGCGATGCGGGTCGCGAGTGGCCTCCCTGGACTCCAGCAGGAGCCACGCCCTTCTGCTGGGCGCTGAAGGAGGATCGCATCGCTTCGCGTCGCTTCTCGACACACTCCTGCAGGTAGTCACTGGTGGACATGGGCTGATCTTTGGGACTGGTCTGACGACTCTGAGCAGCGACGACGCCAGAAGTCATGAGGGCGCCTTTGACGACCTGAGCGAGGCTGAGCGGACCGCGCTCTCCCGAGACGGTGCTCCGACGTTTGCTCTGAAGGGCGGTCTTGGTGACACCGACGTTGGTGACGATGTTGGCGGCTGTTGTGGTGACGTTGCGTTCGAGACGCGTGCTGTGAAAATGTTGTGCTGAGGCTGGCCTAGCGAAGGCTTGGACTGCATCCTTCTGTGTCGTGTTGTGAGAGGTCAGGCCGCGAGAGCTTGCCACAGCAGAACCGGTGCTGAGCCCGAGCATGCCAATGGCACCAACCGTTCCTGACCTTCGATGAGCAGCGCGCGGTGCAGGAACATCGGCGCGATTGCCCAGGCGGGAGCTCCGACCACCAGCATTGACTCGCGTATCGATAGCAGTCTGAGTCGACTCTTGTGCTTGTGCGCTGTCCCACTTGCTGTGCCCTTCTTCGATTGAAGTTCCTTGCGTCGAGTAGACATGGCTGTGGTTGGGATCGAGGTGCGAGCGGGGCACCACAGTCGTCGAACCGAGACTATGGTCACCATTGAGGTAGCCCTGCATCACTTGCTGACGGCTCTCGGTGCGGTCATCGAACTGAAGGTTGGACGAGCAGTAAGGAGTTCGGCTATTCTCCACAACGTGGTCCTTGCCCTTTTCCACAGATGACGGTGCCGACGGGAGGGAGAGGTGTTCGAGCTCCAGCATCTCGAGAGCGCGGTACTGTGCATCGAGGTTGGCCTCAAAGGCGCTGCGCTGGGACAAGCAGTCTTCGAGGGAGGTCATCCGACCCTGCATCTGAGTGCGTGCTTTCTCCTCTTGACGCAGAATGGTCTGAAGGTGAGCATTGTCGCTCTCGAGATGTGCGTTTTGCTCCTGGAGCACCCGGTTCTCAGCCTCGAGGACGCCAATGTGAGCTCGAAGCTTTGCGGCGTACGTCTCCCAGCTCTTGCATTTGTTGGCCAGCTCGTAGTACTTGGCCGAGAAAGCAGTCTGAAGAGCGTCAATGCCGATGAGCTGATCGGGAGGCTCAACGGGCGATTGCGTGCAGGAACGAGAATCCGCTCTGGAAGGGGCAAAGGCAGAGTCCTGACGAGCGTATTGTGTCTGCTCGTGCTGGTGGTGGTACGATGCGTTCGCTTGAGCCTGGGAGCGAGATGAGAACTGTTGCGGTCCGTATTGATCCTGCGTCGAGACTGTCTGACTGCGCTTGCGAACGATTCCTGTGGAGGAGGAAGACGACAGCTGGCTGGATCCTGTCGACACATTCGACAAGTTCTCGGAGGTCATGGGCAAGCTCGATGGTGGCAAGACGCGGAGGTGTCTTCCGCTGTCTGTGTTGCGTATGGCGAAGGTATCGTCTTCAGACGATGGAAATTGACTCATCCTGCGGTCGGAGATGCTAGCAGAGAGAGGGCCGTGAGAAGGGCGGACCGATGCTTGCCTCCGAGCTTGATGCTCGGCATCATTTTCAGCCTGCATCTGCGAGCGCTGTAGCTTCTCGTGCTCGCGCTCCTTCCACGCCTGAGCCCTCATTTCGGTGTAAGCTCCCGAGCCTGCGTGCGAAGTGGCGCGGGAATGGGCTCGCATGTTGGTGGGAGCGACATTGGTGACCGTGGACGGGGCGGGCCCCAGAGGCTTGCGGTTCATCGGTAGAGTGTCCTTTTCGGAACCTCACGATCAACGGAGACGGAGAGATGCAGAAGGGGTGTCCACAGCTTGGTATAGTCAAGGTGTCCTTGCTCCATCCGTGACGAGCGAGAGAGAGAGCTGCTGATGGAGGATGTGGTCGGATACTGCGTTTCGGGCAACAGACGGAAAAGCGAGAGAAGGAGTCGAAAGGGCGGCTATCAAGCGCTCGACCAAGAGCCAAAATGGATGAGGGTGTTGATGGATGACAGCTGCGCTTTACAGCAGAGAAGCTGATGAAGTGATTCGGAAGGAGACAAAATGTGACTGTTTGAAAGGTGATTGGCGGGGGGGACGACACAAAGCTAAATCTTGATCGTCTGCAGCCTCACAGAAAGACGTGGTGGGTCGAATGTTGAACGAATGCAGCAATGTGATTGTAGCATGAACCGATGCGGTACCGATGAGGCAGCAATAAGCCCAGACTGTCGAGATCGAGCAAGCCAGAGGCAGAGGGAGGGCCAACGTTGGGTTGTCGTATCTGCACGAGGAGATGAAGTGTGCGCTGAAAATGGCTCAAGCGCGGATGCGAGACTGCGTTTTGGTATCCGCCGGTGGGCTGTTGCGCTATGAAGAGGGTATCGAGGGGCCTTGGATCGAAGACTCGAAGAGAATGGACGGAAGGTGGTGGGCATGGAGCTTGCTGCGCTCGATATGCAGAAAGCTGAACTTCCAGCCGACGGAAGCCGTGTAGAAGCTGCGCAGCCAACCTGTTGAAGCGCTCCTTGTTTCGATCAAGACGCGAGTCGGGTGCGGATGGAGTGGATCTTGTCCAGCTGTGTGGCCGAGCGATGGTTCGAGAGCAGGGAAGACAAGAGCGGAAGGGAGTCCGAAAAAGTCTGGCAGATCGGTTCCATCAGATCTGGTGAGCATTCAAGAATCTCAAGTGGAGAGTTGAGTTTGGCCAAGACAGAGCAGAACCAGCTTGGCGTCTTGAGGCTGAGTCTCTCCCACCGCCAATCATCAGTGATGCGGCTGAGACAAGGCTGACGATGCCGTGAGAATGCACACAGCGTTGAGCGAGCTGCCTCGGTCACGAGTCATGTCAGAAGCCCGTGGCAAAGAGTCTGGACTGAATGCAGAAAAGCCATATCGAGGTGCATATGGGACCATTAAGCCTCGCTGTGTGTCAATTTGCGCTCCGTACAAATGCCTGCAGCAGTCGATTCGAAGGTCAGCCACCATATCGTGCCGCCCCTCTCGTCCTCGAGTCCGTAGGACCATTCACATGTGACTGTTCGGGCAAGGGAAGGAGGAGGAGCCGACGCGGAAATGGCCGGACACAATGTGATGCGGGACAGGAGCCGAAGGGGGGAGGGGCGTGGGACTTTTCTTCAATTGTCTTGAGAGCACCTGCATCTTCACTTTGGGCGTTGAATGCCAGTGGATCTGCGCATGATTCTAATGAAGTCGGCCGTGCACTGCTTCCGTTTCATCGGCGAGAAGACGTCGCTCGAGGTCAGCTCATTTCCGACGCAGTGGCTGAGGCATGGATCGGCAATGGACCGAAATGCTTCTACTAAGAAGGAATATGGAAGAACCGAACATCTCGTCGAGCTTGCTCGTCGGACTGTCCGAAGGAAGCAGTCATCCTGCACGGGAAAGGACGGTGACTGCAAGAGACCGGGATCGCCGTCGACCCGACCCGCTGCTGCGACCCATCTTCATGCACAGCACGGTACATTGTCACACGCGTCATGCTCGACCATGCATCCCTGCAGGTGTGATCTTGGAGAGTGAAGCCAAACCTTGCAGCAGTGGTTGGCGCCGTGTCACTCCGGACCGGATCGTGCGAATGAAATTCATGCCGCTTGATCACAGACAAACAAGCGCGCACGGTCGACGACGACAGCGCACAATAGGCATGCGGCTCAATCCATGCAGTGGGTGCCATGATCTTCACGGTACATATGCCATGCAGTGCGCTTTGACAGGGTCTGCATCTGCAAATTGACAGGCGTGCTAAGCGAGACCAACACTTCGCCTAAAATCGGCGCAGACAAGAGATCTGCAATCTGCATGCGCAGACCGGTCATCGTTGTAGCAGCCTTTTGCAGATTGATTCGCGCCTCGATGTCGCTCGACGAATCTCCGGCGCTTCGGGCAGATCCTTCAGTAAGCAGGCTCTCACCCGCGGCCAACCTCTCAAGCTTGATGACGATACTCGGTTGCAGAATGTGACAGGAGGCGGAGCTCGAAACCAGACCTTGAGGGCAAGCAGTCACGCTCGTCTTCTTTTCAGGATGCGTTCAAGAGTGACTTCTGAGAGTGACATGCCCCAATTCTCTCCGGCAGTCGTCACATGGCCGTGCTAGGCGTATCGCGTGATTCACATTCAATCTGCGTCTGAAGTTCTCGTCCTGAGCGAGTCACTTGCCGATACAAAACGTAGCAAAGATGCTGCCCAGAATCTCGTCCGGCGAGACATCTCTGCCGGTCACCTTGCCAACCGCCTTTGCTGCATACCTCAGCTCCTCAGCAGCCAGCACGAGGTCGGGCTCTGCCGCCGTCGCCATCTGCTGAAAGGCATCAATGTGAGCCAGACACTCGTGCAGGTGACATCTATGCCTGCTCTGTGTGATCAGCGGAGCTTCGTTGCTCGACAGTGCGTACTTGGTCGAGATGAGGCGGGCGAGGGACGAGATGAGGTCCGAGATGCCCTCATTTGTTCGGACGCTGCCTGTGAAGGTGAGCGCGTTCGAGGTTGCCACGGACTTGTGGGAGTCGGGGAGCAGGTCCGACTTGTTGTAGAGGATTAGGTCCGGGTCTGTCGAGGTGTATGCATCTGGTCGAATGATGCTCTCTGAAAAGGCGTGAGGGTCGTTGGCGGGCAGGACGAGGAGTGCCAAGTCGGCGGCTTTGATGACTTGTTTGGCCCGGTCGATGCCGATGCGCTCGATTTGATCGAGTGAAGAGCTGCTGCCGTCCAAAATCGGATCGTCTCGGATACCTGCTGTGTCGTAGACGATGACTTTGTAGCCTCCGAGGTCTAGGTGCACTTGCAGAACGTCACGTGTGGTTCCAGGGATATCGCTCACAATGGCGGCGTTGCGATCTGCGAGTCGATTAAGCAACGAGCTCTTGCCTGCATTCGGTGGACCGTAGATGGCGAGCCGCACTCCCGTCGTCAAGATCTCTCCGATGTGTCGAATGTGCTTGTTCTCTTGCCCTCCCATGCCCTCTGTCCTTCTAGTGTCCTCATGCTCCGAACTGATCCCAAGCTCGCTCCGCAGCAGCTCGCCCAGCGCCTCCACCCTCTCCCTCGCCTTCGCCCACGTCCCCTCCTCCACCCCATCCTCATCGCTAAAGTCAATCAGCGCCTCGACCATCGCCATTGCGCCCAGCAGCGTCTCTCTGATTTCCTCGAACCTCTTCGTCTGCAGTCCCTGCGTCCCCTGCAGCGCCACCTTCCTCTGGACGCTCGTCTCGGCATTCACCAGCCCACCGAGCGCTTCTCCGCTCGCCAGATCCAGCCGGCCGTTCTCGAATGCTCGCCGGGTGAATTCGCCCGGTTCCGCCATCCGAATCCCTCTACCCCAGCTACCGAGTGCGTCGAGAACATCGCTGATGGTCGCGGGTCCACCATGTATGTGCAGCTCGAGCGATTCCTCACCTGTATAGCTAGCGCCGCGTGGAAAGTAGATGAGACCCGCGCCCGAGTCGAGCAGCTCGTCAGTGGAGGGGTGGTGGATGTTGCGAAGCACGAGCTTGTGCGATGGTGGTAGACGACGGTATGGCCTGGAGGTGGAGGTGCGGCAAAGGGAGAAGTAAATCCGAGAGGTGAGAGGGCCAGAGATGCGGATGATGGCGACGCCCGCTCGACCGGCGCCCGTGGCAATCGCGAAGATCGTGTCGTTGCTGGCCGCCTTATGGGCAGGAAGACGAGATGATGGAGTGGACGTCACATGACGGCGAGGACATCGGTGAAGGTGGGAGGCTCTCGATGAAGATGCATGTGCGATGGACCGAGCCCGCGTGGGAAAGCTGCCGAGCTTATGAATGCTTGGCGCGAGAAAGGGCGCGAGCTGCGATGAATGCTGCTGCGACAGCTCCACAACGACCGAGGACAGCCAAGACGACCGTAGTAGGCATCTTGCACTCATCGCGCCTGCAACCCCAGATCAAGCCTCTAGAGGCAAACAGACGGTCGTTGATGTGGAAGAAGATATCGAAAGTCGAGAAGGAGCATGTTCGGCAATTTGAGCGGCGTGTCAAAGTCGAAAAAGTGGAGCAAATGCATGCTTCACTCCAACACTCGACCAACACTTCCTCGACACGCAGCAATCCGCTCCCATTCTCCTCCGCTTCTCCTGTTACTACAGCTCGCATGTCAGTACTGCTGCGACCATCAACGCGCTCCGTCCGACGAATCTTGTTCAGTCACCGCACCATGTTCACTCAAGCACCATCATCCGCTCCTGCCGCAGCAGCCTCAGCAACGCCAGCAGAACCGATACCCCTCGTGATGCAGATCATCGTCGACGGCTCCTCCTCCGACCTTCAGTCCTGGCCCAAGGGACCGTGGATGGCGCAAGCCGCTCATGCAGCCATAGCAGCCATCCAAATCTCATCCTCCTCGCCCGCCTCGCAAGAGTACGTCTCCGAATCCAACCTGGCGTCGATGCACAAGGTGGTGCTGCAGACGCCGAAGGAAGGGAAGGCCAAGATGAGCTTGCAGGATCTATCGGAGAAGCTGAGCGAGGCGAGGAAGGTGTACGAGGAAGGAGGGGAGCAAGGAGAAGAGTTCCCGAAGCATCATCTGTGGGTGGAACAGCCCGAGGGGTTAGCGACGTGTCTAGCCCTCGCGCCGAACAGAAAGCCGGCTGCGCTCAAGAAGATTCTGCGACCATGTACGCTGCTCAAAGACTAGATACTGGCACACAGTATTACGAGTTACGAGAGGCAATGTGTGTTTGCGTGTGAGAGATACAAGTACAGATGGTTGCGGCACGTCAAGCGTGATCGGGTATCGGTGCACATGGTGCAGTGGCAGATGCGAAGAGGTGGAATGTAGGAGGGTGGCTCACGCCTTGACAAGCGCTTCTACAGCCTTGTCAAAGGTCTCTATCCTCACCGGCATCTCTGGCGTGTAGAATGGGTTCTTCATCACATGATCCGCGTATGCCTCGTAGCAACGGTGCAACACGCCTGCTGGGTTCGGGTGCGCTGGTGATGTCACCAGGACGAACTTCGTGCCTGCATTCGCGGAATCGTAAGAGAAGCATATCAGCACCGTCAGTGACTCGTCTCCAGACTCTACTGTAGACGGGCAAGGGAACAACTTACCCGTGGGGGTGACCATGACGCGAATGGTAAAGTGATCCGAATCCAAGCTTTCGATGCCGCTGCACTTTCGATTTGGGACCGGATTGAGCTTGGCTGTGATCGCGTGAATACCGTGGAGCGTTCCTGCGAGAACGAGGTACTCATTGGAGGAAAGGCGGCCGTTGTTGGGCATAGAAGCGGCATTGGGATGGACAAAGTGCTCGGATTGGTAGATGAGGCCTCCGGCCTTGTTGATGATCCAGAGTGACGACATTGATGCGATCTGCTATGCTGAGCAATGAGACAGATGTGACTGTGCGACTCTGTTTGCTGTTGTGCTGGTCAATCAAGTGTCGTCGATGGTGACCAGGGCTGAACAGAGGTGTTGACAAGGTGGGTGGTCCGAGAGCAAGAGCAACAGCCAGAGTCCAGCTGAACCCTGAATGGAGCAAGCGCGTCTCGGCCGGGTGGAAGAAAGACCAGAAGGGAGAATAGCAAATTTGAAGGTTGGACGTGTGACTGCAGCCCGAACGGACACAAAGGGCTCAGAGAGAGCGCGTTGCTGAGCGAAAAATTGGAAGTCTCCTCTTCGCCGCCTGCAGAGCGAGGCATTTTGTGTGTTCGCGATCAGCAGGCTCAGCACCACCACCTTCATCATCATCGGTAGTCGCTGTCCAACCCAACACATCTTTGACTGGACGCACTCCGCATATTCCAACTTCGTCCCGCCAGACCACGTAGAAGCACACCACCATGTCGGCCGGAGACCTCGTCACCGTCCTTGCCGAGGGCACATTCGAGGAGCAGATTGTCGAAGTGTCGGCCTTCCTCTCGCGCTCGCAACCCGAAGCGTCGCGCAACGACTTTATCACCCGTTTCCAGCAGCTCGCCATCGATGCTGAGCCCGCCTCCACCTCTGAAACCGCCACCTCCTCTGACCCGGCCAAGAAGGCGCAAGCGGTCTCGTCGCTCGTTTCCGAAATCAGCACGATCGGCGAGGGAAGCGACCGCGAACTCGAAGGCGTGTACAACCTCATCTTCACGCTCGTCGCTTCGACTTCTCAGCAGTCTTCGCTCGTCCCCACGCTCGTCTCTGCGATTGCCAAGGAAGGCGCGGTGGAGAAGAACAATGTGCGATACCGCATCCTGAGCAACCTGTTCAACTCGCTCGAGGCTACGTCGGCTTTGCGACTGTCGGTGTTCAACGCGCTGCTTTCGCTGGCGGCGGCCAACGATGATCTGGACTACCTCACTTCGAGCCTCACCGCGTTGCCGCAGTGGTTGGCGCAGTGGGACGTGTCCGAGTCCGACAAGGCTTCGTGTCTCGAGGCTGTGGCTAAGGCGCTCGAGTCGGCGGAGAAGGAGTCCGGTCAAACGTCCAAGGCGTACCAATTCCTCCTGTTGCACCTGCGCTACATCTCGACGTTGCCCGACAATGCATCGTCGAAAGAGGCCGCCGAACGCACCGTCGCCGCCGCCCTTCGTTTGCCCAAGCTGTACGAGTTCGAGGAGCTGCTCCACATCAAGGCCGTGTTGGACCTCAAGAGTTCGAGCACTGCGGTATTCGATTTGCTCAAGATCTTCGTCGGCGGTTCCACGGCGGATTTCAACAGCTTCGTCTCGAGCAACCCGAACGAGCTCACCCGGCTCAAGCTGGACCAGGATGAGCTGCTGCACAAGATCCGCCTGCTCGACCTCGCCGACCTGTGCGCGCTTAGCGTCAGTGCCGATGTGGCCTACAGCGCGATTGCCAAGACGCTCCAGATCAGCGAGGACGAGGTCGAGGTGTGGGTCATCGACGTCATCCGTGCCGGTCTCGTCAGTGGTAAGCTCAGCCAGGTGAACGACGCTTTCAGGGTGTACAAGAGCACCCACAGGCAGTTTGGAAAGGAGCAGTGGCAGCAGTTGGAACAGCGTCTGGTGCAGTGGCAGAAGAGCATCGCTAGTATTGTCGAGAGCATCGCTGCTACCAGGGGCGGCAAGTTGCCAGAGGGTGTTGTCGGCGAGGCGGTCTCTGCGTAAAAGATGAGGTTCTCTTCATCGTTCCGGTCTTTTGTCAGTCCAATACATTGTACACTTTCACGAACTGGTGTGAAAGGTCGTGCTTGCGCAGCAGTTTGAGATTTCGTGATGTGTGCTTCCGTTCTGTGAAGCCAGGCTTGGATTTCTGAGTGTGTGACGGGGTATATGGACTCCTGAACTGCCTGCGCTCGCATCGTCCTTGTCCGTCGCCTAGACAGGCAACATCGCCAAAGCCTCCTCAAACTCGCGATCATCATCAAATTCATCCTCCCGCATCTCGACATCTCCACTCCCACCTTGCGACTGGGATTCCAACCAGAGCTGTTCGAGCTGCTCATCGGCCATTGCCCAGTGTGGATCCACGTCCTCCTCCTGCACCCGCACCTGCTCCTCCAGCCAGCTCAACTGGTCCGGATCGATCCAGCCGATCTCCAACTGGCCCTTGAGCTCGTAGATGCGTTTCAACCGGGCGTATTCTGCGAGGATGCGTCTGCGTGTCAATTCGTCGTCCTCCTCCCTGTCGTCTGCGGGGGGTGAGGAGGGGATGCCCAACGATTCGTCGTCGTCTTCTACGTCCATGTCGTCGCTGAGCACCCCGCGAGTGAAGGCATCGGTGCCGGTGCGGAACGTCGACACCTGCTGCTCCCGCGCAATGGAGCGCGATTGCGACATCGCCCGCTGACACCGCTCGAAGAACGATTGACGGTAGGTGCTCGACGAGAGACCCGTCGGCTTGTGTGTCCGAATGCGGCTTTCCGATGAGACGCGCGTTGAGCCGGTCGGTGTGGGGCGCGTGCGTGGCGCAGAACGACTGCCGGTCTGCTGCGCAAAGAACCGTGCCCGTGTAGCTTCCACTGCGGCCATGGTCGACGCGGGATAGAGGTTCTCCGTGGGCGAAGAGAAGACTTGGCGTGGCAGGTAGGGTTGCGCAGGCGGGGACGTGCGGCTTGTGCTCGGTCCTGCGGGCGAGGAGTGCTGCTGGTATGGATACTGATGTTGCTGCTGGGCAGCAGGATGTGAGGGATCCATGTTGGTTTGCGATGTCCACGGATGAGATGTGGACGAAGATCCGGGATTGCAAGAAGATGGACCACCAGTGTGATTGAGGTGGTTGGGAGGTTGCTGCGCAAAGATGTCAGTCATCCTGCTCAGCAGCACGATATGAGAGATGTCGCAGTAAGACTTTGCAGGCCGACGCCGTGACTATGCCCCTGAAGTGGAGAGCAGGTCAAGGCCAAGATGGTGGCGGGGTGGATGATGAGAATGCGGATAGGAAGCGGTGAAAGGGTCCAAGCGGAAAGCGCATCGTGCAAATCCAGTCATTTACGCGCTGCGCAGCCGGGGGAAAAAGGTGCTGCAGCACGCGACGAGCCTCAGCGCCCGTCCAAAGTCTAACAATCTACCAAAATCAGCCTTCCGCACCATCTCTATAGATCTTCGACTCGACCAGATACTCGACCAGCGATGGTGGTACCAGGCCCTCGAGCCTCTCCTTCTTCTGCTTATCATCCACACTGTCGTCCTTGAGCAGAGATCTGATCTTGGTCGAGCTGAGCTTGGCCTGGTCCGGATCGATATCGAGCATCCCAACGGACCCTCGTTCGACCCAAGGAGCGACGTTTTCGGAGGCGAGCAGCTTGTCCTCCTCTCGCCTTGCTTGTTGCTCTGCGTCCTGCTCCGATGATTCGCCGCTGATGAGCTGCGGGTAGGACGAAGGGTCGCGCCGAGCACAAACGAACGTCGTACCTTCCCGCTCGAAGAACTGCAAACATTGCTGCTGAAACTCTTCCAGCGAAGGGTAGTATTTGAGCTGGAAGACGCGGTAGAGCGTGTCAAACCCTACGACCCAGTGCAGCCTTGGCTTTGCAGGGGATTGCTGCTGCTTGAACAAGTCCCAGGTGAGCGTCGACTTGGCAAAGATGAGTGGCTTGTCCACGAGGCCTACTGCAACGTTTGCAGCGTGACCGGAGGCGGTCTGTATGCGCTCGACGTCTTTCGCCATGAGTGTCATCATCTCTACGCGCTGCGAGAGGGATGCATCTCCCGGCTTGCCCGCGCCCTTGTCGGCGTTCTGAGTCGAGAAGAGCAGGAGGTGCCCATCGTAAGCTTGCTTTCGTTGTGCGAGAATGGGTTCGCTGAGCAGTAGTGCGAGGTGAGCCCGGGACGGAGGATTGAAGGATGAGTCGAGGACTGCGATATCGACTGTATTGTCTACCACAGAGCTGCTACCGTTGCTGTTGCTGCTGGAGGAAGACGAGAAGGGCCAGCTCGTGCTTGTGGAGTACACGAGGCGAACACCGGACCCATTGCTCGTTGCTGAGGAGGCTGCTTTTGCGATCTTGCTTGCTAGCATGGTATCTGAATGCAGCTCTTCTATGCTTGGAGCTGTCGAGTTGATGTCGTCGTTCCTCATCCTTGTGTAGTCGATGATGCTGTACGAAGGCCAAGCTGGAAGGAAGCTCGAACGAAGCAGGCCCATGCAGGGTGTGGAGGCAGCAGCAGGCGGAAATCCTGTCGCACGAAAAACCGAGCTTCGCGCCTTGAGCGTGGCAGACCGTGCGCGACGTTCCAGCGCAACACTCCAACACTTTCTTCTCACCTTCTCTCACATACCACATCACTCAACACACTGATCACAATGGAGTCGACACTATTTCAAGTGCAGTCGCTCTTCTACCAAGGCGCCTACAAGGGCTGCGTCGACCTTGTTCTGTCTTCCACGGCCAAATCAAGCTCGTCAGACCCTGCGACTGTATCGACCCTTCTATACGGTGCGCGATCGCACCTGGCAAAGTCGCCGGCAGACCCGGCCTCGGCCCTCTCGCTCCTCTCCTCGCTGAAACCCGAGCCGCAAGTGCAAGCCGTCCAGGCATTGGCGCGCTTCATCCAGGCCCAGTCGCAGTCCAACACCAACGCCCAATCGGCAGAAATCGTCAACCTCACTGAGCTGCTCGACCACGCCGTTGTAGGGGAGGACGCTGGCCAGGTCATCCGCTGTGCCGCCGCCACGGCCCTTTTTCTGGATGGCGACGCAGAAGAGGCGCTCAACACGCTCGGCATCAACTCGGGCAGCAAAGAGATCGAGTGCGTCGCGCTCGGCGTCCACATCCTGCTCTCGATCCACCGGCTGGATCTGGCGGAGAAGGAGTACCTCGCTGCGCGCGCGTGGGCCGACGACTCGTTGTTGATCCAGCTCATCGAGGCGTGGATCGGTCTTGCCAAGGGTGGAAGGTCGACCCAGCAAGCGTTTTATGTTTATGATGAGTTGGCGCAGAACCCCTCGGCGCAGGGGACGGTGAATGCGGTTCCTAGCTTGGTAGGCAAGGCGACCGCGCTGGCGGCAAATGGCGATTGGGACGGAGCAAAGAAGCAACTCGAGGAGGCGGCGAGGCTGGACCCGGAGAACGCGGAGATCTTGGCTAACAGAGTGGTCGTCGAGACCCACACGGGCGGAGTTAGCGAGGCCAACGAGGCGCTGGCGCAGCTCAAGAGGGTCAACGCTGCTCATCCGTTGGTGAGCGAGTACGAGTCGTTGGAAAAGAGCTTCGATGAGCTGGCGGGGAAGTTTGCGCTGGGTGTTGGGGCTGAGGCATGAGCAGAGCCGCCTGCCGACTTTCAGATATCTTGTAAACTAGAGAATGAATCATGTGAACACCTCGTCATACGCACACTCTGGATAGCACGATGGACGAAAAGGACGATTGAGACTGATACAATTACAACGACCATCCAAACGCGGCGGTCAGGTCTCGGCTTGGCAGGCTTCTACCTCCTCCCGTTGACGACGATTCTCCCGTTGCCGTTGCCGTTGCCCACCACCGCGGCAGCAGACAGTGCCGGCGATCCCATCTCGACATCGCTCGTTGGCGTCGCATCCCCTGGCAAGCCAGAACCTTCGCTGACCAAGAAGCCTCTCGAACGCGCGCTTCTCCCACCTATCCTACCTGCGACGTGATGGTGGTCCTCGTCGTCTTCGTCATCGTCGTCATCGAGGTGCAGGTCGGAGAGAACAGGCTTGGCAGCACGGGCGGCGAAGAACGTCCTCTTCGCTCTGCCCTTGCCTTTGCCTGCACCTGCGCCGTTCTGTGAGATGTACTTCAGCCCAAGATCATGCTCGAAAGGTCGGATGGGGTCCATGATGCCCGGCTTCCTCCTGCCGTTCGACGCATTACTCGACCTCCTACTCGTCGCCATCGCCCAAGCCGATTCGAACCCTTCGGCGTGCGCCTCATCTTCGTCGCCCGAAAGCTCGTCATCGTATCGCTGCACATGCGCATCCCGCAGCCGCTGCGAAATCCTCTCGTCCAAATCCGAGTCTTCGCCGTCCGACACCTCGACGTCGGCGGGGTTGAGCGTGGTGCGCGGCACCTCTTGCATCTGGACACCCGGTGCGGAGGGCAAGTTGCGCAGGTTGTCGATGATCTTGGTGCGAAGGTTGTCGAGGTAGTCGCGCGTGTTGAGGTTGTCCATCGACGTTGGGGGCACTTCGAGCTTGTACTCGGGGCCAAAGTACTGGATGTAGTCGTTGAAGGGAAGGTCCTCGTCGAGCCTCTGACCGACGAGCAGACCCGTTTCGTAGGTCCAGGTGCGTGCGACATTGCGAACAGTGTAGCCTCCACCGCCAAGAACGATGAGCGGCACGTCGAAGGTTTGCATGAAGGAGACGCAGTCGGCGTGCCCGCGCATGGAAAGGTTGAAGCAGCCGAGCTTGTCGCCGGCGAGCGAGTCAGCTCCACACTGGAGAACGACGGCGCCTGGGCGATACCATTCCATAATGTGGGCCATGATGGGTCGGAACATGGCACCAAACTCTGCATCGCCAATGCCGTCGCGGAAGGGGACGTTGACGCTGTAGTTCTTGCCCTTTTTCATGCCGATATCGCGCACGTCACCCGTGCCAGGGAAGAAGTCGCCAAACTTGTGGAAACTGGCCGTCATGACACGATCAGTGGTGTAGAAAGCTTCCTCGACACCGTCACCGTGGTGAATGTCGATGTCGATGTACAGAACGCGGAGATGGACTCGAAGGAGCTCGAGAATGGCGAGGACGATGTCGTTGATGTAGCAGAAACCACTGGCTTCCCTCTTCTTGGCGTGATGAAGCCCACCCGCCCAGTTGATGGCGACATCCGATTCGCCCGAGTTGAGACGGCTGGCAGCCGCAAGCGATCCACCGGCCGAGATGGAGCAGAACTCGTACAGGCCATCAAAGGCGGGACAGTCCTCCCCGATGAGGTAGCGCGTGCCTTCGTTGGTGAGCTCGGGTACGGACTCGGGTGTGACGCGATGAAGGAAGTCGACGTATTCATCGGTGTGAAAGCGAGTCATCTGGTCGCGAGAAGCACGCTTGGGTCGGAGGATGTCCATCTTTTTGTGAAGACCGTAGTTGGTGACGAGGTTGTGGGTCATTCGCATACGGTGCGGCTTCATGGGGTGACCGAGACCGTAGCTGAAGTTGCCGACGTCATGATCGTAGTAGTAAGCGACCCTCTTGCGAGGGGTGCGAAAGACGGGAGCCGGCTCCATGGCGGCGAGCGAGGAGGGACGAGATGGCTGATCCGCTTGTGTGTTGCCGAAGCTGGGAGCTGGATGAGTGAGTTGCGATGAAGCGCTGCAGAGTGACACAAGGCGTCCGAGCTGCCTACCGAAAGCGGTCAACGCTAATGTGGTGTGAAGCGATGATGCGAGAAAGGTGACGAGAGGGAAGAGGAAGGTAAGACCCTTGATCGCAAGCAGTTGCATCCGCTCATTCAAAGGCAGCTGCGTAGAGAGCTCAGAACGAGGTTCGTGCGTTTCTTCCGATCTGGAAAGGATCTTTACTGGATCGGGGTTGCAGCTCACAAAAAGCGCGTTGGTTGACGCGTCTCAGCCCGATTCAGTCAAAGCTGGAGCGTGCGTCGGTTTAAGAAGATCGCTGTGTTGCAAAAATCTCGTTTCCTCACCTTCAACCAACACATTCATCTCCAACGATGATGTCGGCGCACGAATCAGGCGCTGCGTCGTCGTCCCACGAGATGCAGTCGCAACAGGACCACCTCGACCGAGAGGCAGCAGCCCTCGCAGCTGACATCCTGCCCATCTTCACCTCGGCTGCTCCAGTCGAATCCGTCTGGTCATCCGAACGCATCGCTTTCACAAACGAGCGAAGGAACATCGTCTTTGGCCAGAAGCTCTTCTTCGACGAGCTGCTTTCCTTTGCCTCTGTCGACACCTCGCTATATCCGCCTCGCTCATCACAGCAGCTCTCGCATCTGCTCACTGCCATCTTTGCGGCCACCGCACTCGACTACCTCAAGCAGCTTTCGCTCGTCTACTACCTGCTGCTTGATCTCGATGCATACTCCGAGCGGGCCAGTATAGATGAAGGCAAACCTACATCAAGAGCTTCAGAACGATTCGCTGATACGTACGTGGTGCTGCCCCAGTTTACAGACGCCCTGCAGGGCTACTGGCTGCTCGACAACGATCAGTACCAACAAGCGATCCCCTTGCTCGCCATCGCCGACTTTATCCCCAAGGTCATCCGCACCCTCTTCCTGCCTTCGCCATCCGAACACCGCTCCGATGTGGCACGCGCTAAACTCCTTCTGCGCTTCCTCCGTACTTCCGACCGAGACTCGGCATCCGCTGGTACCTCAGAGGCAAAAGTTGAGGAGCTCGAGATGGAGATTCAAGCGCTTTGCTTCGTCAACGGCCCGGCTCATGCTCTCGCCGAGATCCGCGCCATCGCAACGAGTGACGTGCCCTTTGACGACGAAGCGGAGCACGTCCGCGTTGCTATGCGCGCACGGCTCATCTTCAAGGTCCTCGAGCACTGTTTTGCCCCTCCACGATCAGCCGCCATTCAAAACCTGCTCGGCTGCAATCTCGACGCCGAAGAGGAGTTGACACTCGAAAGCTTCGTGCTCTCTCCTCCAGCAGCCATGACCGCAACTTGGAGCTACGTCGCCGCTGACGTCCTCATCATCCGATACATCAGCCAAGGCAGGTACATGGATGCCGTCGGACTCGATCGCAGACTCGGCCCCGATGTCAGCCAGGGCCACTCTACCGTCAAGGATGCACAGCAGAGAAGCAAGATGATGGAACAGCGCAAGCGTATGATCGCTGGAGCCAGAGAGATCTTGCCCGAGGTACAAAAGGAGCTTCTGCGCATCGAAGAGTCGGTCGAAATCAGTGGTGGCGCGGCGAATCACGAGACGGAAGAGACTGCCAAGGACAGCAACACGAACGGATCCAACGGCAAAGTGGCTGCCAATGGTCTCGCTGACAGGTCCGCTATGGCGTTGACGCCGCTCAGTGCCTCTCCCGCCACGCGAGGTCCCAAAGTTCACACTCCGTCTACGCAGGCAGCTATCCTGTCGGCAGTCGTACGTGCATCCTCTTCGCCGTCCGCTCCGAGCACGCCGACCAAGGCGTCGCTCCTTGGCGGCGCAGTCTCGGCCACTGCTTCCCCCAACGGCACCCCCGGTCGATTCGGCTCGACGCCCCAGAACCCTGCCGCCATGATCGGCTTCCTTGCCAAGCATACGCTCAGCGGCCGCAAGGCCACCGCCACAGCTTCAGAATCAGCCGACGAGGTCATGGAAGAGAGCAAAGACGAGATGGATGGCTCCGGAGTTCTCGTCTCCAAGCCAATCGACTCTGTCAAAAATGCCAGTGACGCTACTGCCAGCCCGAGTCAACCGGTACCAGCACCTTCGCCGTGGAGAAACCAGCCCAGCTTCACGTCCAGCAGCCCCTTCTCTGGTCTTCCCAAGCTGACGCGTCCTGCCTTTGCCGGTGACGCCGGGTCCGTCGCCTCTGGCTCTCATTCGCGGTTCCAGTCCAGTCCGCGCGCGTTCCAGCCTGCCAACACCTCGCCCTTTGCGGCATCCTCCAGCTCGATGCGCAGCTCACCTTCGCTCAGCAGCACCACGGGCCGGACCAAGTTGCCCGGTGCGCTCGGACTCGTCTCGCAGCACGGCAAGAAGAGTCGTCTTGCTCGCGAAGAGGCGAGGCCCGAGATGGAGGACAGCAGCGACGTCGATGATGCAGAGCGCCAAACGGAGGACGGGGGCGACGACACATTCGTTCAGACGACCCGCGCCAAGTCGGCCAAGGGCTCAGGAGGGGATACGAGCATTGGACGGCTCGTACCTGGTCGACGCGGGTGGAGTCAGGCGCACGCCGAAGAGAACGCCGACGATGGAGACATGCAAGAGCTGCTGGCGTCGCCTGAGCCTCCGACTAAACGAAGGGCGCGCAAGACGACCACCGCCACGCCCAAGTCGAAGATGACTCGGTCCCGCACGGGCGTCAACCTCTCCAACTCAGACGACGCTCCAAAGATGACAAAGAGTCGATCGGAGGTGTCGCTCGTCGAGGGAGGGAAGAGGATGACACGATCGACGAGCTCGGTCAACCGCAAGCCGCTGACGCTATCGAATCTGGAGCAGCACTCGCGGTCGGATGCACCGACGGCGCCGATCGCACGCCGCACGCGGGCTGCGACGGCGGAGCTGGAGAGCGTCAACGGGGGCGAGCAGCAGGCGGCGAGTACGATCTACACGATCAGCGAGGTGGGTGATGACGATGGGGGTCGAACGCCAGCAAAGCGCGGAAGACGGGCCGCAGCCCCACCCAGCGCTAGCAAGAGCGCAGTTCGACGATCGACCCGCTTGAGCAGTGTCGAACCAGAAGAGAGCTCGCCGGCCAAACGACGCGGTGGCAACACACGCAAGAAGAACAAGATGCCCGGCAGCCTCGATTAGTATTACTACTCTACAACATACGCCTGGTACACGACGCTATCCGGATGACGTACAGCGCTGGCAATGACGATCTTGTTCACTGCGTCCTGCACCAGCGCATCCGGGTCGTCGCATTCGAGCATGAGTTTGAGCCGAAAGTAGTATTTGCTTGGGTCGATGTCTTGGCCTGCCAGGAGGGCGTATTTTGCGCTCTGGTCGGGATATGTTTCTGGCACGAAGCGGATGCCGGACGACTGAAAGAAGAGGTTGTCTGCATTCGCCATACTCTAAAATCAGTACTTGTCTTATCATCGAGTGTAAGGGAAAAGGGGGGATACGTACGACCTGATTTGAGCTGGAAGAAGTACCTGGCGTCGAGGCGAGTCTTGCCGAAGCGGTCGGTGCGGAAGTAGTCGCTACCACCAGGCATGCCCGTCGCACCGTCGAAGGCGGGGATTGTATCGCTGGTCATGACGCCGCCTGCGGGGATGGGAACGATCTTGCGCAACCCCTCGCCCGAATCACCGACGACGTGAGCCGTTTCCACGGGGCAGGAGAGTCGAAAGATGGGCCGCAGCGAGATGGGCACCGGCTGCCAGTCTGGATTCTCGCCTGCCATGGTCGGTGAAGGTCTGCTTCAGAAGTGTCGTGGAGAGGACTGGTGGTGGTGGTGGTCGGAGTGAGAAGAGAAAACAGGCGGGAAGAGGATAGGCGAGGATAGAAGAAGTGGAGCGAGAGGTGTTGGTGTGGAGCATGCAGCGCGGATATCGCGGTTCGGCGGTGCGGTTGTTCTTCCCGGCGGCCACTCGGGCGAAATTTGGTCCAGAAGAAAAGCTCAATCGGACGGTATCATCTCCGCTCTTGCTCTCTGTAGCGTGTCTCAGTCTTTCGGTCCTACCTCGACTCTGGCCAGCATCGTACCACTGTGTGAGAAGCCTTGATTCTTGGTATATGGACATGGTATCTACGTATTATCAGGGGTCTATGACCATTTGATAGAGCTCTGCTGCTATCTACGAGCTTCCTGCTGCACCTCCTCCAGCTTTGAGCATCTTGCCCGCTTCCACCTTGTCCTCGTTCCTCGTCACCTTACCAGCGAACACCTTTGCAGACCCTTTGAGCTTGTCTTTGAAGCCGACTTTAGACCCCGCATCTTCGCTTGCTCCATCACCTTCATCTGTCGAGGTTGCAGCAGTCGAATCCGACTTTTGTGCGCTGCTTCCGGTGCTGTTCTCACTCGACCCATTGGCCTTCTCCTCCTGATCATCGAACTGCGTCTTGCCCTCGGCAGGTTTGCTGGTGGGTTCATCTCGACGAGCATCCTCGGTAGGGCAGGGCTGATCCGAGTAGTCGACGCCGACTGCCGCCTTAGATCCGCCGTTCTTCTTTACTGCCGCCTGCACGTCCTCATCCGGAGACAAAGTTGTTCCTGCTCCGCCGGTGGTGGGGATACCCTTCTCGGTACCGATCTTGTCCTGGGCTTGGTCTGGGCGCTCAGACTTGGAGGGTCCGCGCTCATTTTCCTCTGTGTAGTCGTCTCGCGCCATGACATCATGCGTCTCTTTTGAGGGGGCGTCGTCGGATGAGGCGTCTTGCTGTGTGGGTTCCGAGGACGATGATTCGGCTGGTTGAGGTTGGGATGGCGTGTCTGAGTACGATTCCTGGAGCGCAGCGAGTCCGGTTGCTTCCGCGATGAGCGAAGAGGCTTTGGGTAGTAGGCCTTGGGCTGAGCTCGTGACGCTCTCGTATGCGGACGAGGCGCTGTTCGAGACGCTGCCTGCGACGTTGGAGGATGTGTTTTCTGTGTCTGCCATCTTGTGTGTATGCTGGTGGTAGATAGGATGGAAGGGGTCCATGTTGGAGAAGAAAGCATGAACAAGGTGGACGGTGGCCGATAAGATCAGTTGGCCTTGCAAAATGACGAGGCTCGGCCTGCAGCTCGTCATTTGGCCGTCAACAGAGGCTAAGCGAGCTTCAGCCACGTTACCTCAACCCACAACCCCGGTCAACTCCCTCTGGAGGCCAGGCGCGCATACCGTCTCGCCGGCACTCTGAGCAAAACAGACCGCAAGCGAGCACCGTATAGTCTCAGCAAGTGCATCCATTTGCAGCTCACACAATGGCGGTGTCTCTGTGATGGGCCATCTCAAAGGTTGCCCTTTGGACGGATTACTTCTCACCTGCTGTCGCACTGCTTGCCCGCCGCTGCATGGCTCGTTGCACTTGATATTTGAAACGGACATCGACATGAGATCGTGTCAGTAGCCGTCATTCGCGTTTGGATGCGCTCGTGCCGCTCTCCTGATCAAGGTAAGGATGAAGGAGGCGGTGTGTACAAAGGCAGGCAGAGTGTGCGGGGAAGCGTTGGCTGAGCAGTGACCTCATCGCGCTTTGTCCAGCCAACGCCGTCTCTCTCACGTGGGCTTTTCAGCCTGTCACATGCGAAACAGCACATCGCCGAACAAGAGGCCGTAACTTTGGCATTCTTTTTCTTGCACTCGAGAGGAATCTGACACTCTGGAAAAATGCCTCTCCGCTCTGCCTCCGCATTCATGCACTCGAGAGCGTGACAACGCTCAAAACTGAGCTCAAAAGACAGAGCGCACAGCCAGTCTTGATCATCACACCTCGCCGCACAGATAACACCTTGCCTTCGATCATCATCAACCGACATTCATACCCATTCTTTCGACCACACCCTACACAGCGGTCCCTCGCATCTTTCAGCATTCAGCATATCCATCGTCGTTCGACCTTCGCCTACCCAACTGCCATCTGGAACGTCATCTCTCGGCTATCTTTTAGTTTGAGAGCACTTTAGATCCCAAAACTAGCCATTACTTGACCGAGATAGCGACTCCCGACCATCGATCAGGCAAGCAAAGACACCTCTTCACCAGCTCAAACGGTTCAGCGCCCTTATTTGATTCGGTCCGCGCATTATTGGCCCCTCAGTCCTGGTGACGAGCCATTACTCTACGAAGGGATCTCAGCTTCTCCCGCCTGTTTCGACTAATCAGTCTTCAAAGTCGATACACTAACTCGCATGTCTCCCTCAGCACGTCTTTGATCGCTAGTGTATCGAGTCTGTCGGCTTCTCATTGCTTTTATAGCTGTCGAAGCGTCCTGCCCTCGCCCTCGCTCACCATGGACGTCCCTGGTTCAAGAGCAGCCTCCGGCAGCTTACTGCCCGCAACTGGCGGCGGAGGCGTCGACATCCCCGGCATGTCCACATCGCACGCCAGCTCCTCCCGCATGGGACCAGGCACGCGAGCACGAAGGGAACGCGAACGCAGCGGTCGACCCAAAGACAAGCACATCCTCGCCCTCCGCTCCATCCGCGACTTTCTCCGTGGACGCAGTAGCTACGATGTCCTCCCCGTCAGTTTTCGAATGATCATTCTCGACACCAAGCTCGTCGTCAAGCCCGCCCTTGAAGTCATGTGGCAGGCAGGCGTTGTCTCTGCTCCACTGTGGCAGTCGACTCCGCCCGAGCTGCTTGGCAACTCGTCCAGCGAAGATGGATCGATACAAACCAAAGACGAGGCAGCGTCTGAAAAGCCGGCAGAGGGGGAAGGTCGTGTCAGTCCCAAAAGCGTGCCCTCCAAGGACACCGACAAAGCACACCTCTCCGGCTTCGCAGGCATGCTCACGGTCAACGACATCATACACCTCATCCAGTACTACTACCACCACTCCTCGTACGATTCCGCCGCGGAAGACGTGGAGAAGTTCCGACTCGAGCGGCTGCGCGATATTGAACATGCGCTCAATGTGCCTCCTCCTCCGCTGCTATCCGTACATCCGCTGCGACCGCTCTTCGACGCGTGTCAGCTGCTCATTAAGACGCACGCCCGACGACTCCCCTTGTTGGATTACGACGAGCAGACGGGCATGGAGACGGTCGTTTCTGTCTTGACGCAGTACCGTGTGCTCAAGTTCATTGCGATGAACTGTCGCGAGACGTCGGCACTGTGGCGCAGCTTGCGGCAGTTGAACATCGGAACATACTGTCATTCTTACAAGGCGAGCAAGGGAGCAGCGTCGCATCGTGGGTCCGACGCTAGCGAGCCGGGGATCCTCAAGAGCGAGCACGCGTTGGATATGAGCGAGCTTTCCCCTGACGCGGTCACTCCAGAGGAGTCGGACGCTGCCCAACCTGCAGCCACACAGCCCGCCTCCGGGCCCACCAACCCCTACGCACCCATCGCAACCGCCACACTGGACACCACAGTGTTCGATGTCGTCCACATGTTCTCCGAACGCGGCATTTCGGCGGTCCCCATCCTGGACGACTCGGGTAACGTCGTGGACCTCTACGAGACCGTCGACGTCATCACATTGGTCCGTACGGGCGCGTACACCTCTCTCGATCTCACCATTCGTCAAGCGCTTGAACGTCGTCCTCCCGATTTCTCGGGAGTGTGGACGTGCTCGCCGGACGACTCGCTCGCGTCGATCTTTGCTCTGCTGCGCAAACGTCGTGTGCATCGACTGCTGGTGCTCGAACCCGAACCGCTGGTCGTGGGGGGTGCAGATTTCAAAAAGGAACCCGTACCCGTCGAGGAGCTGGACAGCTACGCGGACGATCTGGTGGAAGAAGCGCGCGAAACGGAGCGCAAGGAGAAACAGGCGTACATCAATGATGCCAAAACGCCGTTGGAGGAGCGACTGGAAAAGGGGGATCCGGTGAGGAAGACGAGAGGCAAGTTGGTCGGGATGGTGTGTTTGAGCGATATCCTGCGGTATGTGATCGGAGAGCAGATGTTGGGGGAGGAGAAGGAGGTGAGGAGTCGAGGTGGGAGTGTGGCGAGTAGCGCACCGAGTAGTCATCAGGATGTGGAGGTTGTGGGGACGGAGGCGACCGTGAGCGCGGCTGTGATGACGACAGCAGAGGTCATGAGTCCCACTACGACGTTGGATGCTACACAGACCATTCCTGAGAATGAGGCGTTGGAGATGTAGCTACCCCAGCCTCTTGACACAAACACCATTTGAAACACAAAGCTTTGCTCTGGACCTGCAATGAAATGTGCTGAATTGAACAATGCAAAACTTCAAACGCCATACCTGCCCTCTCGCAGCGCACGCACCCTCTCCCGATCGCTCATCTCATCCTCCCCCCTAAGATCCTGACTCGCATCCGGCGTACCGTACTCCTCCTCCCCCTCATCGTCATCCTCTACCATCGGCTGCGGGGCGACCAGTGGCACACCCGGATTCCTCGTCTCCTGTGCCTCTTCCAAAGCCAACCTCCCATGCAAATTCGTATCCTCTGTCGCCCGTCTCGCATTCGCATGCCTGGCGAGCAACCGTTGTTGTTCGTAGTACATCTGTTCTGCCGGTGTCAACTGAAGTCGTCTCGTCGTCATCGGTACCGTTCCTCCTGCGGGAGTGTCGGGTAGACCACCCAACGCGGTCCTAGCCCTAGGCTCCAACTGTCCAAATTCAACCGCCAGCTGCTCATCCGCATACACGTGTTGCAGATACTTGCGCAAATCGTGCACGCCTTTGCCGGAGTACACGCAGAACGCCTGCCGCTGATGCTCGTTGAAATCCTTCGGTGGCGCCCGGCACATCTTTTGCAGCTCCGGTCGACGGAATGCGGGTACACCGGTCAGGCTTAGGTGTGTGAGTCGACCGAGTCGTTGTAGGACGCAAAAGATCGCAGGGACAGAGACGTTTTCGCAGTAGGACAGATGGATTCGTTCGAGCGAGTTGTACCGATCGACCAGACCGTAGATCGCTTGGTCGGTGAGATTGATCACTTTGACCAGGCCGATGCGGCGGAGCTTGGGCATGTTGTTCGCAATCTCGGTGATGGAGAGGTCGGTGAGGTTGGGACAGCATGCGACGTCGATATAGCGCAAACGAGTGCAGGAGCGGGCGAGATGGGTCACGGCGCGGTCGGTGATGTTGGAGACGTGGCCGAGATGCAGGTAGTGCAGGTTCTTGCCCAGCTTGGCGATGCTGTACAGGGCTTCGTCTGTGAGGCGGGTGCATTTGGTGAGGGCGAGATTTTTGAGACGGGGCACGTTGGCGACAATGCCCTCGACGGCGTCGTCTGAAATGGAAGTGCAGCTGGTCAGGTCGAGAATGCGGAGGTGGTCGAAGAGGCGGCTGTGGGAGAGATCGGAGGGGATGCTGGTCGATCGTGCCAGCCCGCTATCCCGTCGACCGTCGAGCATCATCTGGACTCCAGGAGATGCGCCTCGACTCGTGGGCGCCGAATCGCTGGCAAAGGCGGATGAGGTTCCGATGCGCGAGCCGTGCGAATGCGAAGTGCCCAGCATCGGCACACCCGTCGTGCCGCGTGCGGAAGGGAAGGCGTTGTCGGTCAGGTCGGTGCAGTGAGCCAGCCGCAGCTCGCGCATCTGGAAGCTCCTCGTCCAGATCTCCCGAACCGACTTGTCCGAGATCTTGGGGCAGTGGATCAGATCCACCTCGAGCAGAGAAGGGCAGTGCTCGGTCAGCGAGAGCAGCGCCTCGTCGTCGACATTGTCGCAGCCGCACAGTTTGACCCTTCTGAGCAGCTTGCAACTGCGTGCGAGCTCGGCGACACCTTTCGATGTGATCTTCTTGCAACCCGTCAAGTTGATGCCTTGCGCCTTGGGACAGTTTGCTGCGAGTGTGAGCAGTGTGGCGTCGGTGATATCGGCCACCTCGGTGAGATCGACGGCCACCAGCATGGGTGTGTTCTGGAAGACCTTGACGAGGGTCGCATCGGTGATGTTGGAGCAACCGGCGAGCGTCAGCCTCTCGAGGCGTCGGCAGGACGACATCATGAGGAAGAGCTGATCCTCGAGTTGATTTGCGAGGAGCGTGAAGTTGAGCCGGCGGACAAATTCGGCGTAGGGGAAGAGCTGCTCTGGCTTGCGAATGACGCCGACCAGCTTGAAGAGGGACGAGATCTTGAACAAGGCGGGACGATGCCATAGCAGCTCGACACCGTTCAAGCACCAGGATTTGCAAACGAGCAGACAAGACAGCAGATCGGGAGGGTATAGGACGAGATACTTGAAGATATGCAGAAGGATCTCGTGTGGAAGGCTAGAGGCGGTACTCAGTGGCGCATCTTGGTGTATCCAAGTGCCGTCGGAAGAGGTGGGGGATGCTGGGACGAGCGTGCCGCGACGAGACAGGCGCACGGCTGCGGGATCGAAAGAGCGTTGAACTGCATTTCCTTTGGTCACTGCGTCGTCGATCGAGGCGAGATCGGCAAAGTCCTCCTGACCTGCGCCGTCGTCGGATTGTGATGTGCTGGAAGGCGAGGGTGGTGGACGTGGAACTGGATTCCCATTGCGAGCGGCGAAATCGGCGGGGGACTCGGATCGATCCTCCATCTCGGTGTCGATCAGGTTCCTACGAGAAGAGGGACCTGCACGAGCAGAAGCAATGACAGCATCGATGTGAGCTCCTCTGCCTTGGAAAGGATATGGTGAAGGAGAGTTGGAGCCTCTTGGGGAGGAGTCTGCTGTGCGAGACATGTTTTTGTGGTAGCTCATCGAGCTGGCTTAGATTGTGTTTCCGCAATGACTGGGCTTGATGTGCAGATCGACAGAGCGAGCTGGATCTTGGTCGGGTCAGTAGTGCTCTGCGATGCAGCGAATCACGATTTGGATCACAGGCAGGAGCTCGATGGAAGTGCTGACGTGTGCGCTCGAGACCAGAATGCTTTGTGTGGTCAATCGGATGATGGGCCGTGTTTGCAAGCCAACGAGCGTGCACCAGAACGAGCTGTTGATCGAAAGGAAGTAGTCAGGCCGCTCCAGGCGATGAGGGAGCGTAGGCAGTAGGTAGTGGAAATGGAGGCAGCGCGAATGTTGTTGGTCTCAAAGAGTGAGGACGATGATAGTGCTGCTTGCGAAGTTGGGTGGAGGAGGCCGAAACGCCAAATTGGCACTCAGCCCAGCTGGACAGCCAGACAGAGAAACACAGCCAGCCAGCCAGCCAAACAAGCAAGCGCGACTCAACTCGATAATCGAGCTCGACATCCGCAACCGAACGGACCTCACAGCCTCGGCATGGAGCCAAAGCGTTGGCCGAGTCTACGCCGCTTTAACTCAGGTTGAAGCTCATGCATTCAGGACATCTCCTATCGATGAAGATGACACGATGGAGACAGTAACGAGGGCATGCTCGAAGATCCTTTGGGATGATGATCAAGCGGACCACACGAATTTTGGTGATGCATTTGGATGTAACTTTGCCAAGGGTCTGCATGATGGGCTCCGTCTGGCATCGGAGCCTCTCTGCGCGTCCTAGCGCACCCTCCCTATCACTCTGCAGCAACCGCAATCTTCGCGCAGACTAGCTCTTGACACCTTGCCGCTTTCGAAAGGCTTCCACCTTGTTGATCGTCGCAAATGTATGGCAGTCATACCTTCTTGTCGCTAGCATTCCAGTGCATCATCCAGCCTCAATCCAGAGTTGTGTGACTTTTCTGCACACGGACCACCACAGCCCACTCTCCTTCTTGACTTCTCGGCTGGCTCCATCAAGAAAATGGCACTGAGACCTGCTACCCACACTCGCGTTCTCAACAGAGCTCCCACTGAATAGAGCTCTGAGATGATGCTGACAAGCCATCAAATGAAATGACAACATACACAATCGACAGCGCAGCTCGAGATGAAGGCAGCAGCTGGATCGCTTTGGCACCAAGCAAGCCGGCCTTGTCGGATGCGTGGTTGCCAAGCTGCAGTTGCAGCCAGCAGCCAGCCCCTTTTCAATTCTTGAAATCGACACTTCAAGCGTTCTAACAAAAAGTGACAAAGCGCCTGTGCGCCGACTTCAAAAATTGTGATTTAGTAGAGCGTCGACTCTGCCATCTTTCGCCCACGATGCGGCCGTCACGCATGTTCGATCCTCAGTCATCTGACACTTTCGCACACTGGCGGAATGCCTGTCAATTTGTTACATCTGCGGCAAAATCCAGCGTCGCGAAAACTTTTCGTCTCATTTCGAGCAAGACGAGGCAGCAGCGCAGTCTCCTGTTGCGTGGCTCCAGAAAACTCCGTGCTAGTCTCAACCGATCTCACAAATCCGGTCTGGGATGCACTAGCCCGAACCAATTTATAAGGAGAGATCAAGAGACCTCACATCGCCATCCCCTCTTATTCCAACATCGTCTCTCCTTCCCTTTTTCTCGCTCCCTTTTGGCCGTGTCTGTCGCGACCGAACTCACATCCCTCTTTCGCCGTTCGACACCGTCCCTGCATTTCGCGATTTGTTCGTGTTGCTCTCGAAGCCACCTGCGACACCAACACCCCGTAGCGGCCCTCAACTAGGTTCGCTCCATAGCATACAGCTCAGCCTTCGCGACTCTTGATCAGACGCAAGACACGCGACGCAGCAGCTTCAAGACACGATGGTTGCCCCTACAGCAGCCCAGCCCGTCGCGGCTGTCAAGCCCCAGAAAAAGGACAAGAAGAACAACAATGTCGCTGTCGAAGGCGCTGCCGCCGACGCTGCTGACGCCGACGCCGTAGCTGAGGCCCTCGATGGCGCCGCTGCTGGCTTGACGGATCGCAAGCGTGAGAAGAAGGACCGCAAGGAGGCCGAACGTCTCGAGCGCGAGCAGGCCGAGAAGGATGCTGCCACCGTCGCCGCTGCCTCGGCTGCTCAGGCTGTTTCGGCCGTCGCGTCCGCCACGCGTCTTCCCATCGACCCTTCCCTCGATGGCTCGATCGCAGTTGCTGAGACCACCGCGCTTGCTCCTGCGGTGGCTGCTCCCGAGCAGACCGCCGTCGCCCAGCCCACCCAGGCCGCTGTCAACGCGACCGCCCCCGCCGTCGGCACCTCTGCTGGCGTCGACCCCATCACCGGCGAGCCCATCAAGCGCAAGCGCGGCCGCCCCAAGAAGGACCCCAACGCGCCCTCGGTGCCCAAGAAGCCCAAGCGCGACGCTGGCGAGGGCGGCGAACGACGCGGTCGACGCGCCAAGATGTCCGAAGAGGCTGCCATGGAGGAACTCAAGGGCCTCTCGCAGCGCGAGCTCCTCGTCGAACGCGTCTACTCCTCCGACATGCTCGCCAAGCTCGAGAGGACCATCGGCCTCAAGTACCAAAAAGGTCGCTTCACCAAGGAGGAGCAGGACACGATCAAGAATGGCATCGCTGAATTCATGAAGACTAAGGGTCTCTCCGAGGATGACTTCCAGGAGCTGCTCTACAACTACCGCGAAAAGGGATGGGAGAAGATGTACACCGAGCTCTGGAAGGACCTCGCCGGTCGTCTCGAGGGCCGACCCAACATCGCGGTGCGTCTGCACGTCAGGACCAACAAGTCGCAGTTCCGTCGACAGGGCCGCTACACGCTCGCCGAGGACTTTGAGATCCGCCAGCGCATGGGCGTCATGCGCGAAGACGCCGCTTCCGTCGCCAAGCGTCTGGGCCGTCTGAACCAGGATGTGCTCTCGCGCTTCGTCAAGCTGCAGGTCAAGGACGAGATGGCCGATGGTCCCACCTGGACCGCCGACGAGGACAAGGCAGTGCTCGCCGCTCTCGAGCAGTACAAGCAGGAGCACCCGGGCGAGGTCATCTCGTGGAAGGCCATCGCCAACATGATGGGCAACAAGCGAAGCTACAAGGTCTACTCGAACCTCTTCTCCAACATCCGATCGCGCGTCGACCGCAGCGGCACCAACCCGAGGCGCGACTACGGCACCGTGGGAGAGGATGGCGATGCCGACGCTTCGCAGCAGGCCGTCCGCGGGATTCAGCGTCACCCCACGCGTGCCGAGCTCGACAACAGCGTGTGGATTCCCGGTGAGGACGACCTGATCCTGCTGCAGCGCCTCAACTTCCAGGACAGCATCAGCGAGGCCTCGGTGCGATGGGCCGATCTCTCGTTCGAATCGTGGTCGTGGCCCGAAGAGACGCTCAAGCAGCAGTTTGCGCAGATCAAGTCGCGCTACCTGCCCGAAGGCTGGAGCGGCGGCTGGCAGGAGTCGCTCGACAAGATCATCCGCACCATCCGCACGCGTCGCACCAAGAAGGAGATCGACGACGAGGGTGAGGACCAGCGCGCCTCGGGTGATGCGCAGGCCGAGGCTGGCGTCGAGGCTGAGACTTCGGCTGCTGGTGCCGCTGCCGCTGCTGCTGCTCCTGTTGCGGCGGCGGTGCCCGAACCCGCGGCTGCCGACATCGACCCAGCTCTGGCTACGGATGTGAGCCTCGAGCCTGCCTCCGCCACCGTCTGAGTGGTTTCGAACGAGTTGTTACGTCCTGTTTTGTACTCCTATGTAATGTATCGCGTGTTGTCCTCTCCCCCGTGCGAAGGGTGTTCCTTCTGAGTCGTATCTGCGCTGAGAAATGATGCAGTTGATGGTCGCATTGATGGTAAAGGACAAGGGGGAACTGCCGAACCTGGGTATCGTCTCGTATGTTCTTCGTTTTTGTCGTCGCGAGATCTTGATGCGTCTGTCTGAAGCGCTACTCCTCCTCGTCCTCATCCTCCTCTCCGTCCTCCTCTTCGTTCGTTCGGCTGGCATCTTCCTTACCGGCCCAGTCCTTCCATGCCGTCAAAACCTGGTTCAAGCTCGCCCTTGTAGTGTCCATTGCATCTGCCAGATCGGATAGCTGTTGTGGTTTGTTGTTTGCTGAGGGAGCGAGAGGGATGCGAAGCTCCGTGCTTGGTGTGAGGGTGTTGGAGGTGGGGTTGGTGAGCGGGATGGGTGTGGTGGGTAGTGCCTTTGAGGAGCTGGTGGAGGTATCGATGTGGACCTGAGCTGTGATTGCGCTCATCTTGACGATAACTTGGGAGTGAAGCGAGGTGATGTAGAAGGATAGAGTGCAAGGTAAAGAAGGTTGAGACGAAGCAAGACGGTCGACGGTCAAGAGCGGGGAAGAAGCTGCCGGTGCGCTTTTGGCAGATTTGTGAAGAAGTGCGAATCGAACAGAGTCGGAATTTTTGCAGCGGCGATGCGTGGTCGAGCCATCCAGAAATCGGCACTTCTGACGGCACAGCCGCTGAGAAAGTGGAGAGAGATGTGCCTCACGCAGCATGACACCTTCCACCATCATCCGTCGAGTCCTCCTTCTTCTCCCAACGTTGTCGGATCGCAAACGTCCCTCCTATCGCATCGAATAGGCTCCACCTCACTCTGCGCATCGTCCGTCGACTCCAAGCCTCCGGCACTGCACTCTCAACCAGATCGATCGCATCCGCTCCAACTAAGTCTGCAAACCCGGTAAACAAGCTTCCGTCATGCCAGTACGTATCTCGTCGACTGGAGCGAACAAAAGCTCGTCCCATCCTGTCGTTCCGACTTTTTCTGACTCCCTCCTTCGATCCGTTGTCGCTTTCTGTTCTTCTTGCTGCTAACCCTCTACAGGCTTACCACTCGTCCTATAACGAGGAACCGGACACGCGTCTGATCGGCAACATGTCGGTCCTTCCCATCCGGTCTCGCACTCGCGGACCTGCGCCTCCACCCATCGATCCCTCTCGTCCCGACATCATCGATGAATCCATCGACCTCTTCCGCGCCAACTCGCTCTTCCGCAACTTCGAAATCAAGGGTCCCGCCGATCGAACGCTCATCTACCTCATCCTGTTCATCTCGGACTGCCTGACAAAAATCGCGGCGAGCAAGGTGCCGTGGAGCACCAACGAGGCGATGAAGCAACTCCAGACGTTTGCAGTCGACTCCTTTGCCCTACCAGGAGATGCGAATTTCCCATTGAACAGTTTGTATGCTCCCCCAGCGAGCAGGGCCGACGCAGAGGCCTTGAGGAGCTACCTGACGCAGGTCAGGCAGGAATGCGCCGCGAGATTGGTAGAGAAGGTCTTTGCCGATGGCACTCCTAGCAAGTGGTGGTTGGCTTTCACCAAGAGGAGGTTTATGAGGATTTGAACGACCGGCGGGGACGAAGCGTCTTGGATGCATCCAAGGCCGTGCTACTTCCACGAGCGAGAGTCACTCGTAATGAAAACAGTGCAAACGTGTCATCAACGCATGTGATGGAGGTGTGTGTGGGTCGTCTCAAGAGGTGTTGCGAAGCTAGCAGGCACCAACGTTCACTGGTCCCGGAGCTGACATCGATGTGCGGATCAAATACACAATCACACAGAATACCATGTGTGCTACTTCCTTGAATTGATCATCCCAACACCTGCCAATCGTCCCCCAGCAGCTCCTCGTGAACATTGAAGTATCTCGTTGGCCTACCCTTGACCTCGACCCTTCCCACCGCCTTCCATTCCTCGCCGTCCTTCGACCGAGCACTACCATCCCATTTCGCAATCCACTTGCCCAGACTCGCCCCGGACTTGACATCGAATGTCTCTGCTACGAGCTTCTCCACACTTTCTCCCTGCCCGAGGGTGACGGTCGGTGCGCTATTGGCGATCTCCCACGCGGCAAAAGGCCGACTGGTCGGTCTCAAAAACGTGGGTTCGTACACCAAAGTCCGCTGCGGCCGCAATCTCCACGAGACCGTGTTGAGCTCCATGCCCACCTTCCCGTCCCGCTTCAGTAGACGCATGGAGCCAACGTACGGCGTACCAATCCACGCAATGAGCGCGGTCGATACGCCCGATGTCGCGAGAGCTGTGATGGACAACCCAACCCGACCCGCGAGGGAAATTTCACCGGGCGCGAGGAGGAGGATGGGCGTGAGGATCGAGGCCAGACCCAGGGAGCCGAGGGAGAAGAGCTTGAGACGTGTAAAGGTGCGTGCGAGAGGCCCTTCGTAGGTTGCTAGGACGCTGCTGCCCTCCGGTGCGGCGGCGACGGCGGGTGTGGGTGCAGTGGGTGCAGTGGAGGCGGTGGACGGCGGTGTGCTGTTGAGGCGCGGGACGGTTGTGCTGAGCGCGCGGAGACCGAGCATAGAGGATCGCATCGGCGAGATGACAAGATGACGAGGCATCACAGGTGACGTGCTGCGTGTCGCCAATCCTCTTGTCGCTCGACTGGCAAATCTCGCGCTCGAAGTCAGCACCGATCGTCTCCCTACAGCCATCAGGATGAGCGACTGTTCCCAGAGGCGGCAGAAAAGGCAAGCACAGTCAACATTCTGTCCTGGAGTGTGACGATACTTGGATGCTCCCATTGCTGCCTGCGTGGCCGGAAAGGAGGCTCAGGCCGCAGCCCATTCCAAGCTCCACACTGTCAACCAGCGATTGCGGAGCTTGACGTCGCCCTCGGTCTCCTCTCCGTAGCCTTCGACGAGGAACTTCCGCCTGTTGCCTGTGAGTCTTGGCTCGTCCTCATCACTCGATGTGCCTTCGACGGTGTCGTGCCCACCGGTGTCCGCTGCGTCTGTGGTCGACTGCTGGACGGGAGTGTTGCCGCAGACTTCGAGCTCGAGGATGCGATCGCTGGCGTGAGCGAACGCTTCGTTGCCTGCTCTTCCCACATCTGGGTCTTCCATCGCCGCCGCCTCTTCCGACAGTGATGGCCAGACATCAGGTCGCTCCACAGGCGCCAACCTCAGTCCGGCGCGGTACGCCCTTCGAATGAAAGAAGTCACCTTCTCCCGACCTGTATGCAGCCCCGCAATCACATTGACCCTTGCGCCCTTCTCCCGTGCCAGCACCTTGACCACCGTCTTGAGCAGATCCGCATGACTGAGCGGGTCCCACAGGCAATCTGCCAGAAGAATCGAATCGAACCTGTCTGTCCCTCTTGGCAGGCAATCCAGCAGCTCCTCCGTGTCCTTCCCCCAGATGTGTCCGGTGACCTTGCACCTCCTCCTCTGCTCTTCCTCCGGCAGGTTGCGTCTGACATTGTCACGAAGCTCCTTGATGAGCAGAGGCTCGTCATAGTCGCTCGCAACCACCACCTTGGCGGTGCCCACGAGGGCGGCGGTGATGCACGGCAGACCGGTGCCAGCGCCAAGTTCGAGGATGGCGCGATCGGCAACGGGGAAAGCGGACGAGAAGAGGGCGTCGCTCATGAGCATGCCTGCTCGCCATTGACGGTGCGCAAAGATGTGGTGGATCGACGCGGGTGGTACGGCGACGGTGATGATCGGCACGCCGGCGGTTGGGCTAGAGGAGGTGGGGGCAAGCTGCTTGGGTCGGTAGGAGATACTTACGCCTGGTTGACCAAAGGACGGGGGGATGTAGGCCGCCATGATTGCTGTTTGAGGTGTGTGAGATGGTGTGAGAAGGAAGAGGGTAGCAGAAAGGGTCCACAAAGGAGAGAGAGAGAGAGCTGTCCAATAGGTGATCTCGGCAACAAGAGACTGATCTGCTGTTGAGATTGGTTTTTGAGGATTTCTTCTTAAAATTTGGCTGTGTGATGCGATGGGCAACTGCTGACAACGGCCGGTTTTCTTCTCAGCTTGGCGTGCGTTATTCCTTCCGCTTCTCCACTTTGGTCTCTTCTTTCTTCCTCCATCACGATCCTCATCGTCGACGTACACGACACTCCACAGATCCTGACGGAGAACGCACGACACAAAATGGTGCTCAACGTTGCCGCGAGGCATGCCATTCGTGCCGTCGCTCGCACACCTATGACCCCTCGGGCTCAGGCGATACCCCGGACTGTCGTCCTCGCATCCTCCTCCATTCGTTTCCTGGGCACATCCTCTTCCTCGTTAGCCCCCAAGAAGTCGCGATCGACACCAACGCCGACGCCGTCTCCAGCATCGCCAAAACCAGCCGAACCCTCAGAGAAGTCTGTCTCGGAACCAGATGCTCCACCTACACCCGCCGAAGCAGAATCCAAGATCGAACCACGCAAAGGCTCTTCTGCCTTCGACCTTGACACATCCGCCGTCCAACTCCTCGAAGATGCTGAGTCTGCTTCCAAGTCCGGCGCAGGCAAGGGCGGTAGCACGGGGGCCAAAGCCAAAACGGGTGCCCGCAGCATGTCGTCCATCGAGCGACGTCGTCAGAACACCGTTCGCATCCTCGCCGGTTTCGTCCTGATCGGTGCCGGTCTCTCGGCGTACAACCTCGGTCGTCCGTGGGACAACGACCTGGAAGCCTCTCGCTTCGCCGACTCTCCCGATGCCTCTTCCTTCCTCGGTCGCATCAAGCTCCGTCTCAACGCCATGTACGAAGACCTCAACAAGCCCGTCTTCGACCAGCTCCTCCCCGATCCCCTCCCCTTCCCCTACGGTCGACCGTACACCATGGTGATCGATCTGGACGATCTGTTGGTGCACTCCGAGTGGTCGCGTGAGCACGGATGGCGGACGGCCAAACGTCCTGGATTGGACTACTTCCTCGGTTACCTATCCACCTGGTTCGAGATCGTACTCTTCACCACGCAGCCGTTTTTCACTGCAGGACCCATCATCGAGAAGCTCGATCCGGATCGTAGGTATATTGCCTACACGTTGTTCCGCGAATCGTGCCGCACCGTGGATGGCAAGTTGGTGAAGGATTTGGACCATCTCAATCGCGATTTGTCCAAGGTCGTGGTGGTGGATACCAATCCGGATTCGTTCCACCTGCACCCGGCGAATGGGTTGCTGGTGAAGCCGTGGACAGGAGACAAGACCGATCGAGACCTGGTCGGGTTGGTACCCTTTTTCGAGGCGATTGGGATCTACAACATCGAAGATGTGAGGCGGACGCTTCAGTCGTATGCCGGAACGCACATCCCATCGGAGCACGCACGACGGGCGGCGGAAACGCGCGAACGCGAGCTGGTCGAGAACAAGGCGAGGATGGAGAGGATGGGCAAGTTCGGCTCGGTCTTTAGCGGTGTTGCCCGCGGCGCCAATGCTGGGCTTCCTGCGGATAAGACGTTCTACGACACAGAGCGCGAACGCTATGTCCAGGCGTATTTGGAAGACCAGAAGTACTGGAAGGAGAACGGAGAGGCGCTCAGGAAGCAGGCTAAGGAGGATCAGGAGAGGCAGATCAGGGAGATGAAGATGAACACTTGGGGCTTCTTCACCGGTGGAATGAAGCCGCCGCAGCAGCCACAGGAGGAGGGCAAGTAGTGTGGGAGGAGGGAAATGTACTCTAGCAGCTCTCAGATTATCACACCACTTTGCACACGCGAGAAGAAGGCTGAGGTGATGGGTTTCCGTATTGCGTCGTCCGTGTATTGTTCATTGCTGGAAGAGCAAGCTCGCGGCGACTTCGACGTTGCCCCCTGCAGCATCTAGGAAGGACACCGCTTGATGCGGCGAGGCGCCAAGATCGGTCAGTGCTTTGATGGATTCAGCTGGCCATTTGTTGGTCGATCCCCCCGATGCTGCTCCACTCGAAGCTCCTCCTGCAGGAGCAGCATTGGTCGCGGCGGCTTGCGGCTGCGCCTGACTGCTCGGATGGCTGAAGCTCCACCCATGCGAATCAAAGTGTTCCTCGCTACCCTGTGGTCTGCTCGCACTCGCTCCGGCTGCACCTACCGCCTGTCCAGCACCCGGGAACTTCGCCCCCGCCGCAGCAGCAGTCGCTTTAGCCGCAGCATTAGCATTCGCACTCGCCGCACCCAACGCTGACGTCCCGCCCTCCCCTTTCCCCGCTACCGGTCTCGGCTTGCCCTCTTCGTCCATCTCATACTCTGCGTTCGCCTCAGCAGGAAGCTCATGTTCGTCCAAAAACCGGATCTCCTCTCCCTGGATCACCAGCGCGTTCTTACCCAGATCGATCGTCGCCTGGTACCTCCTCAGCATGTCCAACCCAAACAGCATGTCCACACCTTTGCCCTCCATGATGGTAAAGCTGCATGGCAAGAACAATCCCTTTCCGAGCTGCAGCTGGGTCGAATGGACACGACCGAGGATCTTGGCCGTGCCTACACCCCGGGCGATGCCCGCAAAGCGCGTATCGAGCAGCCGCATGATGCCGCACTTCTCGGCGCATTCGGGCGACATGATGGTCGCTTGGGCTCCCGAATCGACAAAGGCTTTGACATGCGTACCGTTGACCTTGCAGTCGACGTAGAGCATGGTGACCCGACCGAAGGATTCAGGGGAGTACTCCATGGCGTGCTCGAGGTTCTCCATCACGCGCTGCTGGCGGATGTTCTCTTCGATCCGCCGTTGGGCGTCGATGTCGAACTCGTCGGTGATGTCGTTCAGCTCGGAATCTTGGGATTCCATGGCGGAGCGTTGGGCACGGAGCATCTGCAGGAAGCGGGAGGGAGAATTAGCGGCTGCATCCGCGAGCTGCGGATTGTTGCTGCGGAGCATGGAGAGGGCGTTGGGGTCGGCAAGGATCTGTTGACGCAGCTGCTCGGCTGCTTGCTCTTCTGATGCCGGTGGGGCAGCAGTTCTTTGCCCGGCGGCCGTAGAGGAGGAGCCAGCCGCGGAAGAGGATGCCTGACGAAGATCCCGCAGGATCAGCAGGTCATCGTTCGCCACTCCGCAGCTTGCAAGCGTTGCTTTGTCGTCGCTGAGCAGCTTGCCTCCGTATAGGAGCTGCTGCTGATTGGGAGGGATGTTGGAATCGACCTCTAGCAAGGCTTTGAGGTTTTCGAGCTCGATGCTGGCGTCGACATCGATGGGGAAGGTGCGGTCATCCTCGGTGATGACGGTGATCATGTTGTGTCGGTGAGGGAGGGCGACGACCACGCAAAGGAGAGGTTGGTACGAGTAATCTGATGATGGGGTCGATAGTGAAGGAGGAAGAGGCTGAGTCGAGAGGATGCTGAACGGAAAGCTGAGTCGAGGAGTGTTGTATGTGGAGCGGGTCAAGCTAAGCGCCTTGCATGCACCAACACAAGATCAGCCGAGGCCGCTCGGTTGAAAAGCCGCGTCAGTGCGTGTTTGATGTTCTTCCCGGACAGATCGCAGATCGGGTCAGATGGAATCGAGATTTGCAATGCGAAACGACAGCGAAGCAAGGAGCCGCGCCTCATGCCCTGCGCCGCGCGCTGTGCTGCTCGCGCCTGCCGTGCCGCGCTTTGGCAACCATTTCAATCCCAGCTCGCGCTCTCGAAGGTCCCTCCTTCCTTCCGTCTCCTCTTGCTCATCATCGATCATCATCTCCAACCAAAACGCATCTTCGCTCAAGCGTTCGAACGCCATTAAGCTCTTTCAAGCCTTCACTCTGCTGGAATTGCAGATACGCTGCCCCAACGAAACTTGACTCCTCGAAACATCTCGAACTCTCGACGGGCTTGATCCGTGACTTGGTCCAGAATCACGCTCGCTCTTCCTTCCTCGACAGCTTGACAACGCAGCTCGATCTTTTAGACGTCCATCAGTGGAGATGTCATTCTTCAACTCATTAGGTCGATCCATGGGTCGTTCATCACGGCCCAAGAAATCCCCTACACACCCGAACATGCCCACCTTCGACCCGTCCTCCTTGAACGCCAACCACTCGTCCTACTCTCGTTCGCCCAGCTCGCCCACCACATCACTCGGTGCGAACGGCAAGCCGCTCTACCTCTGTCAACCCTTCGTCGGCTCCTCCCTCGTCAAAGGATCGCTCAAAACCATCTCTTCGGTCCCCAAATACGTCGACCCAAAAGAATGGATCGCCGTCAACCTCTTTGACTTTTTCAACAACCTCAACCAGTTCTACGGCGTTCTCACCGAGTTCTGCACTCCCATCGCCAACCCTACCATGTCAGCCGGTCCCGGTTTGGACTATACGTGGATCGATCAGAATCGCAAACAGGTCAAACTTCCCGCACCGCAGTACATCGACTACGTCATGACCTGGGTCGGAGGTCTTTTGGGTGACGAAGCAACCTTTCCCACCAAAGCATCGCGCGATTTCCCCCCAACCTTCTTGACAACTTGCAAACACATCTACAAACAGCTACTGAGGGTCTTTGCCCATGTGTATCACGCACAGTACCAGTACCTGGTGCATCTGTGCTGTGAGGGACACTTCAATAGTTTGTTCGCCCACTTCATCGCCTTTGGCAGCGAAAATAGGCTGTTTGATTACAGGGATTTTAGGTACAGCGGCGCTAGTGGGGGTGGACAGAGTCCCACGGCGGAGAGAGGTCAGGGTTATCCGGGCGTGTGCGATTTGATCGAAAGATGGGTCGAAATGGGCGTCTTGGGACCCGAGTGCATTGGTCAGAGGTGATGCACCTTCGAGGCAATCTTACTAGCAATTTGACATACATCACCACGCGAGCGGAGTGGCTTGTGAACGTGTGTTTTGTGTCTTGGGGCCTAGCGCGCCCGTCACAAACTCAAAGACAACACTCGCAAACTCGACCACGCAGACACTGAAGATGCACTTTGTTTTGGGTTGCAATAAAAGAAACATGACACAACTGAAAAAGGGGAACCAACGGCGGAAGAAGCTTAGGCCTTGCCCTTGGCAAAGAGCTTGGCCCTCTCGATGGCCTCTGCAGATGCCTTGACGAGCTTCTTCTTGTAATCCTGGATGCTGACGTCCTGTGTCGAGAGGTTGACAATCTTCCTGTCCTTGACTTCCCACAGGTCCTGCGCCACCTGGCTGATCAATCGGAAGTCGTGCGAGACGATCACGACACCACCCTCGAACACCTTGATCGCCTGGGCGAGTGCGTCGATCGAGCCCATGTCCAAGTGGTTAGTGGGTTCGTCGAGCAGCAAGATGTGAGGCTGTTCCATGGCGAGCTGCGAGAAGACGACACGGTTGCGCAGACCGTCCGAGAGCGTACGGATGGGCGCCGTCTGATGCGCACCCGAGAGACCGAAGCGTCCCAGCTGGCCACGCCAGAACTGCAGGTCCTTGTCCGGGAACTTCTCCTTGTACTTGGACTCCATGTATTCGAGCGGCGACTTGTCGTACGGCAACTGGTCCGCAGAGTGCTGCGAATACTTGCCCAGCTTCAGACCCGCGTGGCGCTGCACGGTGCCCTCGACCGGGTTGAGCGCACCAGTGATGAGGTTGAGCAACGTCGACTTGCCCGTACCGTTCTGACCCACAATGGCCACCCTCGAGTCCATGTCGATACCAAAGCTGAGGTCCTTGTACAGGTAGTCCTTCTTCTCGCCGCTGTACGAGAAGGCGACGTCGCTGAAAGCAATGATGGGAGGAGGCATCTTGCGCACATCCTCAAAGTTGAAGCGCAGCGGCTTGGGCGCCCACACAGCCTCGATGAGACCGGCCGCCTCCATCTTGTCGATGATCTTCTGCTTCGACTTGGCCTGCTTGACCAAGTTGGCGTAGGTACCGGCGGAAGCGATGAACTTCTTGATGTGCGCAATCTCCTCCTGCTGCTTGGCGTACGCCTTCATCTGGTTGGTCTCGTTCTCCTCCTTGGTTCGCACGTAGGTCGTGTAGTTACCACCGTAGGTCAAGAACTTCTTCTGAGGAGTGAGGTCGAGGATGTTGGTGCAGACCGTGTCCATGAAATCAGCCGAGTGCGAGGTGAGCACGAGAATGTGGTTGTACGTGGAGAGGTACGCCTCGAGCCACACGACGGCCTCCAGGTCCAAGTGGTTGGTGGGCTCGTCGAGCAGGAGCAAGTGGGGCTTGATGAAGAGCGCCTTGGCGAGGGTGACACGCATCCTCCAACCACCAGACATGTCCTTGGTGGGCTTCTTCATCATCTCGGTCGAGAAACCGAGACCGTGAAGAATCATACCAGCCTTGGTCTCGAAGGTGCTCGGGTCGAGCTCCTCGAGCTCCTCGTACTTCATCTCGAGCGCCACCTCGTCGATCTCGTCGGCCACCGAGAGCTCCTCGATGTCCTTCTCGAGCTTGGCCACCTTGCGCTTGGCAGCCTCGACGACGTAGTCGACGGCGTTGGTGTCCGAAGGCTCGGCCTCACCCGAGACAATGTGGATGTCAATGTGCTCGGGGATCTCGACGTCACGCTCAGCCAGAGCGGCAAGGAAGGTGGTCTTTCCGGAACCGTTCTCACCGAGAAGACCGTAACGCTGGCCGTAGTTGAGGTTGATGGTGGCGGTGTCGATGAGCAGACGGCCGTGGAAGGACATGGTGAAGTTGTCGATGTGGATATCACGGGACTGCTTGTCCGAGGTGATGACACCGGAGGCGTTGCGTTCTGTGGCGATGGCAAGCTTTTTCATGTTGAGCTCCTCGACGGACGAGTTGGCCGAGAGGTTGGTCATGGGAGTCTCGGAGGTGCCGTTGGTGGTGCCAGACTTGGAGGAGGACTTGGACGACTTGTCGCCCTTGGCCGCAGCCTTGGCGGCCTTCTCGGCCTGACGCTTGGCCTTGGAAGCAGAGACGGGAGGCATGATGTGCGGTTCAGCTAGCGCTGTGAGTTAGGACCACTTGGCTCGACTGTTGTTCGTGCACGGCAAGTGAATGGCGCACTTTTGAAGAAGGAAGACGAGACGACTTGACGATACGAGTCTCGAGTGTCAGGTTCCAGGGGAATGACCTAGAACGGCAAGCCAGCTTGTCCGATGGGAAGGAACAGGCCTGTTGTACTATGGAAGGGACGATAGAAACGGTACGCAGTACGGGACGAAAACGAACGTATCTGCGGCAATGGAGGGGGAGAGAGGTGGTGGTGGAGAAGAAGCTGCGATGACGGCAGGGTGCGTGCTTGAGTTGGTCCAGTCGGTTCGACTGCGGATGAGAAGGAATGCTGCCTGCTGACGGCGTCTTTGGCTGTCCTATCTGTCACTGTTGAAGCTGCTTCTGCTGCGCTTTCGTGGTTCGAGCGTTGGAATCGAGCAAAGATCGATTTGTACGTCGCTGCAACCAGTAAAATTTTGGAACGAGAAAGGCACGTTGAAAGAGAAAATTTGTGTGCGTTTCGTCTAAAAATTTCTCAATTCTTCGCTTCAGTCCACCAAAAGTCACCGATTTCAACCAGATCGCACCGCGCCACCAACGCGATTTCAAGCATAACGCGCGATACCTTCGACGGCCTAACAAATTGAGAAAACAGCGGCCCTCCTCCCGGTTCCGAGCAGCTATCACTTTTTTGTTCAACCTCGCATGGCATTCTTCTCATCATCGTATCTGTACCTTTACCATTTCCAGGTGACACCCGACAAAGACAGAAGGGCCTCCACTAGGCACTCGAAGCTGATATAGTACTACAGCGCATTGCGAACGAGCGTGTCGACTCACCTGATAGAACTTCCGCCAAGATGTTCAAGCCAACACAGGTGGCATGCTCCAAAGCGAGCCGATTGCCGCTCAACTCCAAGAAGGCCAACCGCGACTTCTACAAGGGTACACGCACAGGCAACATCATGGTGCGCAAACGTATCGCAACCGCAGATCCTCGCGGTAGGCAGCTGCTCGACAAGAACGGCAACGAACGATACTGGCACCTCAAGACGAAGCGAATCGACGAGGCAAGGGTTCCCAACTATGTCGTCCCTCCAGGTCTGGCTGAGACCAAGGTAAGTCCACCCCGCTCTCAGTACAATTTCGCAGGCTTGTATGTGCTGACCGACCTCTTTGCTACCTCTGTGTGCCAACCAATAGCTGCGTCCGTACGTATTCGTAGGAGCAGAAAGCGAAGGTGGTGTGTCGAGAAAGGGCAAGTTCGGTCTGCCAGAATACCCAAGGATGGACGCGAATGGCTTCGACGGCACCTACTACCGATCCGTCATCGGCGACATGCTCCAGAAGCGAAGGATCAAGGAGCAGCAGGACGAGGACAGGAGGCTGGCTCAATCGCCTCGCAGCTAGTTGCTGCCAACGATTTCTGTCTTTTCCTGCCCCATCATCCGACACATTTGACATTCAGCCCCGCTCAGCCCCGTTCTGTACAGGGTTGCGTCTGTCTCCGGTCTGCTCTCATCACCACCACGACTCTCTCTCTGCGCATCTGTATTTGTACTCGAAACCAAAAGCATACTTTCCCGCATCTCCGTCGTTTCTGCGCCCGACTTTGCTGCGAGTCGTGAGCCAGTCACGCTTCAATGATGCTCCTGTCGTGCTCTGCCTTCTTGCGCTCAATGTCCGGACGCACAGGCTGCAAAAAGTGCACCTCCCACACCTCTATTCCACTAGAAAAAAAAGAATGGTGACAAGAGTGGGATTCGAACCCACGCCCGAAGATAGCAGGTTTTCCTGAACAGTCAGAATATCTTCCTTAATGCTACGCCTTAGACCACTCGGCCATCTTGCCTTGGACGTTAGCCGGAATCACACATGCAATTATATAGCCGCCGCAAGTTGTCATCGCAGCGAGCTTCGAGCCAAGGGCTCACATGCCGATCTCCTTGTGAAGAACACTGAGCAGGGGTATGTATTGCATGAAGTGGGATAGTTTTCAGATACTAGATAGAGCGATATGGCCTTGAGCTGTGCGGAATCAAGCAGCTGAGACGTCGAGGGAAGGATTCATTGCCGGCGCTGTCGAAGCCCCGGCTTGGAGACGTTCAGCTCTGCGCTCTGCTTCAAGAGCCTTTTCGATCGTCGACTCGAGTGCGGCTCTGCGGATGGCATTTTGCCTTTCGAATCCTTGCATCAGCAGACGGACACTTTCGATCGAGGCGAGCAGGACGTTGGGATCCAGACCAGCTGAAACCCTGTTGCTTGGATCCGCTCTGCCGTCGGACGCCTCATGGGTGGTGAGCTTGTGCGAGTGTTGTCTGCATCCTTCGCCGAGTGCGTCAGTAACCCCATCGATCGAATCGTCGACGTCGTCGGAAGAGTGTGCTCGAAGTCCTGATGAGGACGGCATGAAGGGCTTGCTCGGGCTGGAAGACGGTGTCTGCATGTTAGCGATGGTCGGAATGAGCATGTCGTCGTTGTTGATCGCGCCAACACCCTTGGTGGGGCTCGAAGCTGCAGGCGAGAACGGGTTCATGTTTGCATCGCTCCCCAAGTTGGGCGAGAATTTGGGCCTGGTGACGGCGCGAGGACTGCCGCTTGCGCCTGCAGTTGCGAGCAAACGGCCAACTGCGCTGAGAGGTTCTTTCTCCGGGCTACCACCTATAGCTGACTCTTTCGCAGAGGTCCCAGTAGAGACACCAGAAGAAGCAAAGACGACCTCTTCCCAGCCATTCTGACCGTACTGACGCGCAAGGAAGTCGGACATGACCTTCATCTTGCGTCGGAGCGCTTCCACTTCGTGCGTCTTGTCTTCGTTGTCGCGCTGCAGGCCCTTGAGGATCATCTCTTGCGACATGAATTCGCGCTCCAGCTTGATTGCTTTCACGCGGGTGAATGCTTTGTCTTCGGCATTTGCCGCACCGGCTTTGCCTTTGGAAGACCTCGTGCGATCCTTTTCGACTTGCAGATCTCGCTGAAGCTGCGAGACGTTTTTCTCGAGCTCGAGGATGCGCTGGTTTCTGAGCTGAAGGGTGTCCATCAACTCGTCCACCTGCGCCCAGTCAGCTTCTTCGCCGTTCTCGTCGCCGTCAAATGACCTCTCTTGGTCGTCGTGCTGGTTGAAATCGTGTTGTGGCTCATCTGTCGCTTGCGCAATGTCATCGAGGTGTGCTTGTCCAGCGCTGTTAACGACATCGTGGCTGTAGTCGACCTGTTCATAGTCTTCCTCCTCTTCGTCGTGCTTCTCCAGAGCTGCGAGAAGAGATGTGCTGTCCGGATTGAGCGAAGGACGACGAGATGTGGACCGCGTTGTGGACGTTGAAGAGGAGGCGGCGAGATGGGATGCAGGGTCCATGGAAGGAAGGACAGAGCTCCTTCGGTGGATGCGTTTGAGCAGCTGTCTGCGCGGTGTCTCTGGCGGGAGGCGCGATGAATCCATGGCTGCGATCAAAGTGTTGGAGCGTGGATCTGACGGTGATGGATGGAAGGAGGAGAGCAGGTGAGTGAAAGTGTTGTCCTCTTCTCAGTCTGATTAGGTTTGTGTCACACTCTGCTCAGCGCAGCGTGCGCAAAGTAACACACAACAGACTGAAAAAGTGACACTCTGCGCATAGAGAGCGCTGCTCGAGCCACAGACACGCGACGCGGAAAGCGACACAAAAAACAGCGGCAGTGGAGAGGCACAATTGGCTGTCACGTGGAGATGGTCAAATGGGCCAATTGTTCAGGGTCTTGGAGGCTCAGTTCTTCCTTTCCTTCCTCCTTCGCATTGACCCGTACCATTGGCCATCGAGGCATCACTCATGTCATGGACATAGACGATCCGCTGGCAGGTCAGTCCAGTCCGGGCATGGCGCCTACTGGCAGTCTCTATGACGTCGAAGCAGGCGCACCGACCAACAAGAGAAAGTATCAAGATCTGGTACTTCCCGACAGCGCATCCCACGTCGCTGCCCAAGCCGAGTCCTCGCCGCCCCATGCCTCTTCGTCTATACCGCCATCCTCCCCATCGCGGCAGGAACGCTCTCGATCGACCACGCCCGCACCTCCAACGATCTCAGAAGCGCACAGAGCATACATCGCCCGCACCGCACCTCATCTTCTAGGTCGTGCCTCAAACCCTTCGAGCTCCAGACCGCCGTCAATACCTCCATCTGGCAGATCGAGCCCAACCTCTGACGATGGCCGCTCGACCCCAGATGGCTCATCATCGACACCAACCCCCGCCAATCAGTCCCATCACGCCTTGCCTGACGGCTACCGCGGTCCTCCGCTCCGTAAGAACGACTCAGAAGACTTTGCTCCGGCGCCTCATCTCGCGCCAACGGTGGGCTCTTCCACTCTCTTCAACACCGTCAACTTCGCCGTCAATCGCAACGGCTGGCGCTACACGGCTGCAGGACCATCGAGTCAGCAACTCCCTCAGACCGTGTTCAAGACCCTCGAGACTCGTCCTGCTAACGTCCACTGGTGCTGGTCAGACCGATCTCCTTTCACCAAGATCTCCGCTGATGCCGACATCATCTCCACCGACAAGGGCTTCCGCGGAGCGCGAACCAACATCGGCGTGCGCGAAGGAGAATGGTATACGGAGATCGAGATCCTCCCACCAGAGCACCTCGCCCACGGCGTCGGTGCAGCAGGCCCGCTCCCAGGGCCCATGAAGGATGGTGCGCACATTCGCCTCGGCTGGGGCAGGAGAGAGGCGCCGGTCAATGCACCCGTCGGCTTCGACGGCTACTCGTACGGGCTCCGAGACAAAGGCGGAGACAAGGTCACCCTCTCCCGACCTCTGCCCTACGGCAAGCCCTTCAAAGCAGGCGATGTCGTTGGCATGTACATCAAGCTCCCACCACACACACCGCCACAGGACGAAAACGATCCGGCCAACATCAAGCGCGAACGCATTGCCATTCGCTACAAGGGTCAATTGTACTTTGAAAGTCTCGAGTACCCGCGGACGAGGGAGATGGAACAGCTGATGGAACGCAGCCGAAAGGGCAACAGCATCGAGGAGGCTCTGCAGGGCATCGAGGGTACGGGCGTGTTTGAGCCTCAAGCAACCAAAAGCTTGTCTGATTCGGCAGAGGGCGTGAACGGAGTCGCGGGTGCTGCGAACGGCAACGGTTCCAGTGCAGCAACGGCAAGCGCAGGTGGAGCAGGCGGCGGAGGCTCTGCCAAGGTCAAGAATCGCAAGAATCCCGGCACAAAAGAAAAGCCGTCCGGTCCCACAACACCCTCGCTTCGACCTCTGCCCAAGCTGCTAGGATCCAAGATCGGCTTTTTCGTCAATGGCGAACCGCAAGGCATCGCCTTTGAAGATCTGTTCGACTTTCGCCCACTCCGCGTCAAGGGCTTTTCTGGGCTCAAGCCGGCTCCCGCCAAATCTTCGTCACGCCCGACCAAGCAGGATGCCGCAAAGAAAGGCGACGCCACGGAGCCAATCATCAACGTCAAAGCGCGCGAGAACGTGTTCGACGACGGTGCGCTGGGCTATTTCCCTTTTGTCTCGAGCTACGGCGGGGCGAAAGCGAGGCTCATCACTGGCGAGAACGGGTTCCGCTTTCCGCCACCAGATAATATCGAAGCGGCGTTGGAGAACGTCATCCCGTCCTCGTCTTCGTCCACCAACATCAAGCAGGAGGGAGCTACGCAGGGAGGGAGGACATGGAAGCCGCTATCCGCGCGCTTCGAGGAGCACCTCGCCGAGATGTGGGCGCACGACCTGCAGGACGAAGTCAAAGCCCAACTCCTCGCCGACAAGAAGGCGGAGGAGAAAGCCATCGAAGATCAAAAAGAGGCAGAAAAGGCTCAGCGGAACAAGGCGCGATATGCAGCGGGCAAGAAGAAGCATGCTGCTGCACTGGCGAGGGCTGCGGCCGGCCCTGCGCCGCTCCACGACGACGAGGGTGATCGCACCGTCACGGGCATGGATGTGGACGATGTCAAGCAGGAGTGGGATGCGAGCAATGGGGGTAGCATCCAAGGCACTCCGGCTCCACCGACCGGCGTGGGGATGGAGGAGGAAGATGTGGCGCATAGGGAGTCTACAGAGCCTGGAACACCACCGCTGCTCAGCAACGCGGAGCATGGGCCTTGGTCATCGTCCCGCTCCGCTTCGCCAGAGGACCAGATTAGGCTGGTGCAGTCGTCACATCACACGAATGGGAGGGACGAAGAGGATGTCGAGATGCACGACGACGCTTCGCGACCCAATTGAGGTCGTATTGAATGCACAGTCTTTCATCACACGCCAGCGAAGTTGGGGTTTCAGAGATTGATTTCCGTGAGAGAGAGGTTGAATTTGTGATCTTGGGGTGACAAGAACAACGAAGTCGATGCAAGGGGGAGCTTGCGTGGGACTTGGAAATGGTCATCAGCCACAAGGGCGTGATCGACGATGCGGGCAATGATGCTCTGGGTCGTGAGAAACCAGCGACGGGATCTCCTGGAGATTGGTCTTCGCGACTCGGCGAGTGGAGAGGCAGATGGCGATCTAGGACGATGGTGCCCAGGGTCGACTGCGTCACAGTGTCTGTTCGACTAGAGACGGTTTTGAGCGAGCGGTATGCGCAACTTCGCCATCGCCTGGCTGACTCGCCCACCGGCGCGGTGATCCCGCTTTCTCTGTTCTATCTAGAGCATGATGTATAAAAAAAACACTTCAACAAATGGTGTCCAGCAGACTGACTCAGGTGTTGCTGAACGAGTTGTTGAAGAAGGCCTTGTGCTGTTTGAGCAGTTTGCGCTGGGGGGAGGTGGAGCTTGAGCTCGCGGGGGCAGCGACGGTGGTGGCGAGGGTGTCGAACGATTCTCGACCTGACGTATCAACAACGAAAGAAATCGTGGAAAATGGGTCAGACATGACGTCCCAACTAACGCTTTCCCTCTTTCGCCTCTATCCAGATTCTCTAATGGTGCCGCGCGAATCACTGCTCACCTGATTGCACGCGGGGTGGTTGAAACATACCCTTGAGAACGCTGACGCGGTCATCGACAAAGCTAGCCCGGGGGGTCGACTTGAACGGCTGGGCGGGAACCATCTTGACAGCGGCAACAGGGGGCTCGAGGAAGTTGGGCATGCCACCAAAGCCACCCATGCCCGTGAATTCGGCCTGGTACGGCTGCGTCTGACGAGGCGTCTTGCGCTTGCCCGTCTTGGTGGCGGGCACGAGCGTCGTCTCGGAGGTGTTGGCGTTGGTCATCACCGACGAGGAGATGGTGGACTTGGTCTTGCGGAAGAAGGAGAGCATGTTGAGAACGGTGGTAGTGGTGGTAGTGCTGGTGGTGGGAGTTGCGGTGGTCAGTTTGAAGATGTGTCTGGTGTGCGAGCTTGTTTGATGTGAGGGGCGGACGAGGGAGAGAGGATGTTGGGCTGTATATATAGCCCTAGATGGCCTTGGCAGCATACGATAGCACGGTACACGATCGACTGAGCGTCGTCAACCTCTCACGTTTGGGAGAGTCCACATCCGGCACGAGGCGTATGGGTTGCAACAAGCGAGCATCGACCCGGCGGACAACGAAACAGGCACACGGACAATCATTCATCGGAGTCACAGTCATGTTCGGGAAGTCAATCAGGACCATTGCAGGCGTCGTCATGCTCGCGAGTCATGGCAGCTGTCAATCAGAGCGGCGCGCAGCAGGCACACGCGTCCAGGGGCCAGAGGAGGATCACCGCGGAGGACGCTAACGATTTAGCCGAGCGTATGAGTCGATTCTGTCCACGATGCTTGCACGGCATTGGCGATATGTGTATCCGAAGCGCGTTCCAACGGGACCATGCCTCTTGCGTGCTCGCACGGCCACTCTGAGCAGGCCAGCATTGCGTGAGACCCCGAGACCACATCTTCGGTACCCGACACGAGCCACTGTACCTGAAAGGCACTCCGACCCAGGCCTGATACGAATGCCAAGACCGATAGCAACGTCCCGCGAGCGGGTCTTCAATCCCTCTTAGCACGCTTGATGGGCGGAGCTGGCTTCACAGATGAGAGACCGATTCAGGAACCACGTCCGACATCCGAATCGTCAGAAGCGAGAAGAGGGCGTCCAGAAGGGGACGAGTCGATCTGCGTCCCGTGGTTCAGGGTCTTTTCCCCCACACCGAAGAGGCTGAGCAGCCGCTTGACAGGTGGCCCAAAAAAGCCACAACGTGCTTGTGTTGATACCGAAGCGAGAATCCCGCGGATCAGAAGGGACCCGGCTCGCTCGCTATCAGTGAGCCCCCCCGTGCGTCTCATGACACCTGCGACTGACTTGCTCACAGCTCGCACGGGCTGCTCAAGGCACAGCACAGCTCGGTGCTCACCAACGACTGCAAGTTTGGTAGAGCTTGGCTCGAGACCATTCCTTCAAACGCTACGCAATGCCATCGACATCCTCCCTCATCGGGCGTAGGCATGCATAGCCGCCGTCGACTGTCGTCCTGGCATAGAGCCATGTCACCGTCGCACGGCCTTGACGGTCTGTCATGCCGGTTGAAAGCCGAAACGGCATCGCAAAGAGTCATGAACAAAGGAGGATGACTCGACCATTCATGCAGGCTAGCGTTTTCAAGCTCCGCCGGCTGCGCCCACGTGAATGGCTTTCCGTTGGGTGCGCGATCAACTGCGCCGAAACGGTATATATATGCTATAATTGACCAGGCGCAGTACGATAAACCCGGACATAGCTCAGTTGGAAGTAGCGATGGTTTGTAATTGGAAACCCTAATCCGGTATTAACGGAAAAGCACCATAGGTCGCCGGTTCGATTCCGGCTGTCCGGACGCTTCCTTTTTTTTTCGACCCTCATCACCATGACCCTTAGCCCCCCCATCTTTTCTCTATGACACTCGGAATCGACTGTCATATGCGGTTGGTGCTGCGTGGTGATTGCTGAATGGAAACAAATACAAGGATCATGCTGTAGCGACTACGTCTCGCTTCTCGCCGCCGCTCGCTTGGCGCGCTTCTCCGCCTTGGCCCTGACCTCCTTCTTCTCCCTATTCCTCTGCTGTCTCTCCCCGAACTGTCCATCGTGCAGTGCCATAGTCGCCACTCTCTTGGCCGTGCTGACCAAACCCAACTTTTCCAATATCGCATCTTCATCCTCCAGCCCTTCGAGCTGGGTGAGCTTGGTGCCGATCTTGTCCTCGATCGAATGCACGACGTCGATGTCTCTCTCCGTAATAAAACTGATAGCGAATCCGCGTTTGCCGTTTCTCGCGGTACGACCGACCCGATGGACGTAGTCCTGCCAAGCGCTGGGGAGGTCCCAATTGACCACCAGTTCTACGTCCGGAATGTCCAGTCCGCGAGAACCTACGTCGGTGGCGATCAACACCGGGACACGCTGCGCGCGAAAGCTCTGCAGATTGCTCGATCGCTCCGATTGCTTCAGATGCGAATGCAAGGACACATTGGGTATTCCGAGTTCGGAGAGCATCCCCGAGAGGGTGGCAGCGGTCTTGCACCTCGCAGCAAAGATGATGGTCGAAGGTAGCGTAAGCGTTGCATCCTCCTCCTCGTCGTCTGACTGTTGGACGCGAGGTCGCTTGCCCTTCTTCCGTTCGTTTTCCGCTTTGCGTTCCAAATCCGCCATTCGTTTGGCGCGCATCTTCCGCACGCGTTCGGAGGACGGCGCGATGGGTGGATGACGCATCACATGAAATAAGTACGGCTCGCGAATGTGCGACGGCACAAACACGTACCTCTGCTCCAAGGTCGCAGGTGTTTTGGTGTCCATCTCGATCTTACACACCATGGGCTCGGGTTTCCCCTCGGGTCGTTTGGCGTTGGCGAGCTCGACGACTTCCTCGGTGAGTGTGGCGGTGAACAGTAGCGTTTGGAGCGTCTTTGCGCTCGGTAGGACGGAGTGAAGGTAATCGAGTTCCGGCTTGAACGTTGGGGTTAAGAGCCGATCCGCTTCGTCGAGCACGAGAAACCTGCATCGTCGCAACCCCCATTCTTCGCCACCCCCGGAGCGGAGGTGGTCGACAAGCCGACCGGGCGTAGCGACAATCACGTGTGGGCGTAAGTTTGCGAGTTCAGAGGCTTGTTTCATCATGTCCATGCCTCCGAGGACGAGAGCGCACCGAAGTCCCATCCTCGCCCCTTCGCCGACCGCTACGAACTGCTCGTGCAGCTGCACGCCGAGCTCGCGCGTCGGTGTAAGGACTACGGCGAAGCCCCCGACCATGTCTTTGATGAGCTTGTTCAGGATGGGCAGGGCGAAACAGAGCGTTTTGCCGGAACCGGTTTGAGCGCCACCGACTAGATCGCGCCCTTCGAGGACGGAGGGGATGGTGAGACTCTGGATTGGAGTGGGGATCTTGATTTGGAGCGCGGCGAGACTGCGGATGAGCATGGGAGAGATGCCGATCGAGGAGAAGGAGGTGTGTTTGGGCGGCTCGGTTGCGCTTTTGGCTACTTGCTGGATGGGGCGAGATGATGTGGATGCCGAGCTGGAGGGCTCGGCGGAGGTGCTGGACGCGACAGGCGGCATGGTAGCGTCTGTTTGTCCTTCGAGGGACGACTATGTCGTGAAAGTATCGAGCGCTTCCGTTATGATAGCGTTGGCATGCAGAAGTGTCCTCGCAAGACGAGTCGAGGTGTCGAGGTTGGCGAATAAGGAAGGTGTTTGGTGGCCATTTTGACATCGAAGGAAGAAAGGGTTCACAACCTTCAAAATTTCCATGGCGGCAAATGCCAAAAAAAAGTTGGCTCGGAAGTCGGCGACACTTGCTGGCGCCTCCACACCATCAAAGTGTCCAGCTGTGCTCACTTCCCCATCTACGTTCCTCGGCTGTCAACGAGACCATCAGCCTAACGACACGACGATGCACACATGATCCTCACCCTGCTCACGGGCCTCTTCGTCGTCGCTGCCGGTGCAGCGCTTGTCGTCTGTCTCGCGCTCGGCCTGCTCTCGCTATCGCAGTACATCGAGTCGCACGCCAACAGATCTCGGCGGCTGGCTCTGCGAACACTCTACCTCGTCCTGCTCATTCAGGCCCTCCTCGTTCTCGACGGCGTACCTCTCGCGCCTTTCCTGCCGGGCCTGGCTGCTGCGCTGCTGCATCGCTCGGCACTCCTCGACCCCTCCTGGCCATTCTCACCCGCCTCCTCCGTCTTGACCAGCCTCGCATCGCTCCTCGTCCTCCCTTTAGCATCACACATCCTCCTCATCCGCCACCATACCCTTACCAGCCATACGTGGCATCAACATCGATACGATACCCTACACCGCGCCAAGCTGCCGGGCGGACGACTCGACTGGGACGTGCCAGAGAGCACACCGGGGCAGCGCGAGATGACGAGTCTGCAGGTGTGTGCGGTGCTATCCGTATGTGTTTGGTCGATACCTGTGGTGAGGCTGCTAGGGAGGATTGCGGCTGCGGAATGGGGGAGTGCCGGTGTCGTTGATGGGCGGGTTGCGAGGAGGAGCTCAGGGAGGTGAGTAGGGGATCGGCGATCGCGTCACCGATATGGATGAGGATTGGCGCGCCTACCGCTTTTGCCGCCAGCCGATGCACGCATTGCAATTTTCGATGGATTTTCTGTGCCTCCTTTTTGACTGAGAACAAGAATCGTCTGTGGTATTTTTGGCTCACGCACAGTGAGTTGTTCGCCTCTTCGGTCTGTTCGGCCGTGCCCGAGCTAAAAACCGCACCGACAGCCCGCAGAAAGGGCGGCTATAAACGCGACTTTGTTCGCTCATCGATGGCTTAACACTCATGAAATTGCTGCCCCGCTCGTCGAAGCTCAAGCTCAAGCTCTGACGGCCCTCGATCGAGCCTCGTGTCATCCAGCTTGCCCCCGCACAAACTCGATTGTCACAGCACTGAGTCTCATCGAGTCGGTCAGGTAGATCGAAGCTGCCTTGGTGATCCGTTCGGACAAGCACAGAGGGTGAAGGAAGATCTTCGGCACCCCAAACCGAACAAGCTGCCCAGTGCGGGGGAGAGGTGCGGCGTTCGGTCGAGGGATGCGAAGTTTTCCGACGTCAGGCCTGTTTGCGGCGGCTGGATGGCAAGTCGCGTGGCGAAAGTTTGGAATTCGTCGAACCGGTAACCGGGTTGAGCAAATCGCCGTTTGGAGGGCGAAGCAAACAGAGCTTGCCACACTCGGCCTGTGCCTGTTTGCTTGCCCTCCCCCCGCATCAACGCTTCCTTCTCTTGTCGACATCCGATTCTACATATAACCACTTCATCTCATCTCACCACCGCTGAAGTCACGTCAACAGAGACTTCACAGCAGCAACGATGTCCAACGCACTCCGTCAAGCATTGCCAGCGCTGAAGCGCGCCGCCGCTCCGAGCGCCCGCACTCCGCTCGCAACTTCGTCCGTCGCAGCCCGCTCCTACGGCACCACCCCCGATACGGCCCCCGAGCAATACAAGATGACCAAGTTCAGCAAGTTCAACTGGGAAGATCCCATGTCGCTTTTCACGTCCCAACTCTCCGAAGACGAGATCGCCATCTCGCAAACCGCCCACGACTTTTGTCAAGAAACCCTGCAACCCAAAGTCACCGAGATGTATCGCAACGAGAGCTGGGATCCGACGATCCTTCCCTCGCTGGGCGAGCTCGGTTTGCTCGGGTCTACGATTGAGGGGTATGGATGTGCGGGGGTGAACAGCGTTTCCTACGGATTGATTGCGAGGGAGGTCGAGCGCGTCGATTCGGGGTATCGAAGTATCATGTCCGTCCAGTCCTCGCTGGTGATGGGACCGATCAATCAATTCGGCACGGAAGCGCAAAAGGAAAAGTACCTGCCTCGATTGGCTAAGGGTGAGCTGGTGGGCTGTTTTGGTCTGACCGAACCGAACCACGGTTCCGACCCCTCCTCCATGGAGACCACCGCCACCGACACGAGTGACGGCGAGATCGTGCTCAACGGTAGCAAGACGTGGATCTCCAACTCGCCCCACGCCGACGTGTTCGTCATCTGGGCCAAATGCAAGTGGGACAACAAGATTCGCGGTTTCATCGTTGAAAAAGGCACCAAGGGTCTCAGTGCACCTGCGATCAAGAACAAGCTCCAACTGCGTGCTTCGGTCACCGGCTCCATCTTCCTCGAAGACGTCCGTGTCAAGCGGGACGAATCGCTCCTCCCTCACGCGAGACCCGGTCTGGGTTCTCCCTTCGAATGTTTGAACTCGGCTAGGTATGGTATTAGCTGGGGCGCTATGGGTGCTTTGGAAGCATGCATCTCCGAAGCACGCCAGTACGCTTTGGACAGAAACCAATTCGGTCGGCCCATCGCAGCCTTCCAACTCATCCAGCAAAAACTCGCCGACGCATCCACCGAAGCCGCTCTGGGTTTGATGTGTTCCCTCCAACTCGGCCGCATGAAGGACACCGGAGAATGGTCCCCCGAAATGGTATCTCTCGCGAAGCGAAACAACTGCAACAAGGCCCTCCAACAATCCCGCAGTCTGTTGGACATCTTTGGTGGAAACGCCACCAGTGACGAGTACCACTGTGGAAGACACGTTCAGAATTTGCAAACGGTCAATACCTACGAGGGAAGTTACGGCATTCACACGTTGATCCTCGGAAAGGGCATCACGGGGCTGCAGGCTTTCGCCAACTAGATTTAATGGAATCGCATTACGGAACAGAAGAGCGTGTGTGTGGGATGTCAATCGGTACGTGGATTGCCCCGATACCAATAGGCATTGAGCGTGTTGAGCACCAAACTGGGCACCGTGCCGATCGTATTGAGCACCGTGACGCCAAAGGTGAGGTCTTCGGTCGAGATCTTCTTGCCCTTGAGCCATTTCAACGGTTTCTTCGAGCTCTCACCCGCCACCTTTTCCTCCGGAGTGTCGTTCTCGATGGCCTCCGTGGGAGGGTCGTGCGACGACGGCGAGGTCATCTCGATGTGCGCGCGCGGAAAACCGGGTCGCGGACTCAGCGTCGAGGGACGACGAGTGAAGGCGGCCGATTGGGGCATAGACGAGATCAGACGGTCGCGCTCCTCATCGGGTACCGGAGCGGGCGGGGAGTGCCAGTGCGAGATCGGCGGAGCGGTAGGCGGATGCAGATCGTGCGTCGCTTCCGCTGCTATCTCTTCGAGTCCTTCGGCGCTTGCAGGGGCCAGGCCACGCTTCTTCATCCGTCCTCCCATGGTCAAGCCATCGAGTCTGCTTGGTCCAGTGGGGAGATCCGGTGCGGCTGCAGCTGACGAAGCTTCGCCGTAGACAGAGTGACCAGCGGCGAAGCCATCTCGTGGCTGCGACTCCTCTCGCGCACCAAGCACGTAGCACGGCCTCTTGACCACCTTCGGCTTGCGGCGCTGCACCTCGTCCAGCGTGGTGTACGTCGCAAAGGCGCACAGCGTATCGCCCACCTTGGGCAACGGCTTGCTCTTCTCCGCCTCCATCCTTTCCTTCTGCTTACGATATTTGGCTTGGTTGTTGAGGAAGGAGCGAAGGCTGACGTAGTTCCACCCGATGGTGCTGGCGATGCCGATGCCGGATAGCATGATGACGAGGGGCCGCTTCCAGTCCTTAGGTGCCTCTAGGGCGGCGTTCTCGATGGCTTTGACTGCGGTAGATGCGGGCTGCGACTGACGTTTGAGGAGGGAGGAAGGTGTGATGGGCGAGTGGTGAGCAGTAGACTGTTGGCGAACCGACTGGCGCGGGGGAATGGGCGAAGTACGAGCACACAGGCTCATGATGGCCAGAGCCAGCAGGTAGACCAGGATACCCCTCATCGTCGGTGTTGCCTAGCAGAAGCTCGAAATCCGTTCGTGGTCCGAAATGCGAGCCAGCTTGTGGTAGGGAAAGCAGCGCAAATTGACCCTTTATAGCTCCCTTTGCTCGCTCCGAGTGCTCGCCCATCCGCTGAAGCAAGCTCTTGCTCCTGCTGTGTCCTGCTCCGAAGTGAGAACAATAGCATCCAGGCTCGGACGGTTTTACGCCTGGTCCGAGTAGACCCGACATGGACAACCGCTTGCGATAGGCTCGTCGTAATACTGAACCGAAGCATCGGAAGCCTAATGGTCGTTTGCCCACTCATTACTCCTATACGTAGACAATGACGAAAGGCTCCGAGATGAACTTTCCGCAGTAATCCTTCCTTTTGTCCGGCGGCTGGGTCGGCGGGGTGTCTGCCGTGCTGGCCGCAGCAAGATATCATCTGATCACTTCCGGTTGACAGCGCGATTGCGTGCTACATTGTCCGTGACGGCTGTTTCCGGGATTCAGTCGGTCCAATGAACTTGATTCCTCGCCCACCGATCCGCTACCAGCCTTCTCTTATGATACAGCAGCCTTTGATGTTTATACCTTCGGACAAAGCTCGCGTCGTCCACGATTGCCTCCTCGCTCGTACCGCTATCGTCTCTCGGATATGCCAGACCCTCGACAAACGCATTGGCCAATTCCTCGGATCGATCGTTGAGTTTGCTGGCCGACTGCGTCAAACCAAAGTGCAGAGCGGACGGGTTGAATCGCTTCTGTACCTCGTTGAGCTGCGCTTCTCTTGTCGCCCACTCGGCCTCTAGCGACTTTGCTCGGTCGAAGAGCTGCTGCGTCTCGGTGCGGAGCGCTTGGAGCGGCACCTGGCGCTCCATGTTGCGCGTCGCTTTGGCTTCGTTGGTGCGCAGCAGGTCGGCGTGCACGCGGTAGAGAGACTGGGCTTGAGGCAGCGAGTGGAAGAATGCTTCGAAGAAGGCTTGGTTCGGCGAGATGGACTCGGATGGTGGCTGCTGCGAGGAGGAGGGAGGTGCAAGCTGGGATGGGGGGACGTCGTCGTAGGCCAGCGCTTGAAGGTCCTGTCGCGAGAGAGAGGCGGTTTGCGGGAAGGCGGTGGTGAGACGCGTTTGAAGCGACGTCGAGGCTGGCGAATCGGTCATGGCGACGACTAGATTGACAGCTTGCTCTGTGCTAGCCAGTCAGTGACCTCGACTGTGGATGGTGAGCAGGCAAGAATGAGAGTTGTGACAGTTGCAGTCTTCGAGATGCGAGTTGCCCGTGCGTTGTGGAGAATTTTGGCTCGGCTTTCCGGTGTTAGACCTTTGTCAGATCTGTGCAAGGTTTGTGTCTGGCGGAGAGTGGAACCGGTGTCGGCTAAAGGAACCGGCTGAAAAGAAAGCGCATTTTCATGTGGGATTTCGGCTCGTTGCTCACGACTCCGCTTGACCACTTTCACCAACCCCGGTGCGTCCAACAGAGCAAGGGCGCAGACGGCTACTTTTTGGGCTCGCGGCATTCCGTTTTGATAGCCGTGTCGTCGCAGTCGTCTTACCCTTCGCTTCTGTCGAGCGCTGGCAGGATTTCAACATCCTTCTTCGTCCTGATCGACAGAGGCTCGGCTTGGTGCAGCCTTCGTTACGATACCCTTCAACAGCAACAGGAAGCGCCACCGCGATTCGAGTTCGAGCAGGACTACGACGGGTGTCTGATACACAGGACAACTCCGACACCTTCTCTTCCCCTACTGGCAGCTACGACCTCCATACAGCCCTGTGCGGATCCACGATGAAGGTCAAAGAGGCGCTCTACAATGCGCTCTTTGGACCGGACCGATCAGGCGCATCCACATCCTCTCAACCCACCACATCGCTCGCGCAGGCAGCGGCCCTGCTCCAGGTCCCACCAGACTCGCTCTCCGCCTTGTCGTCCCATTCGATCCACGCCTTGCAGAACCTGAAGCGGTACGTGCCGCGGGCGGGTTCGGAGCCGTGTCCGTCGTCGGTGCCTGCGTATCGGCGGGCGGCGGTGTTGCTGGGTCTCTTCGCGGGGCGCAATGGCGAGCTGTACGTCATCCTCTCCAAACGCTCCTCGCGGTTGCGCTCGCATGGGGGGGACACGGCGATACCCGGTGGTCGATTCGAGCCGACAGATCGCGATCTCGAGTTCACTGCTCGTCGCGAGGCGTTCGAAGAGACCGGTCTGCCCATCGACAGCACCAAGGCGGTCAAGTTGTGCGAGCTACCCCCCTTCTTGTCCGCCAACGAGCTGGTCGTTACCCCCTTCGTAGTCTTTCTTACGGACCACAGCATTCAACCCCACCTCAATCCGCGCGAGGTCGACAGCCTCTTCTCCCTCCCCCTCGTATCGTTTCTCTACCACAACCCACCACGTCCTCTCCGGCGCAGCTTGCACTTACCACCAACGCCAGATCCAGAAGCACTGCGTCACATGCCCGCCAACGAGGTCTCGGCGATATCCGATTGGCATACCTGCCGGGACATCCTCTGGCTTGGAGGACACCGCATTCGACGACACACCTTCTGGGACGAACGCAACCCCATCCGAGGCCTCACCTCCGACATCCTCATCCTCGCCGCCAACATCGCCTACGAGATGCACCCCCAATTTGTCGTCCGCAGCCCCGGCCAGCCGAGACAGACCGATTTGATAAACTTGGCCTTCAACAGCCCTCTGGCCGTCAAGAAGTTCAGGGTCAGGCCACGGATGCAGTTCCTCAAAACGCCGGACGCATTCAGCTTCAATAGGACCGAGAGGACGAATGACGAGCTGGAACAACCCCAGGACGAGAGGAGTGATTTTCAGCTTGCGCCGCCTATGGACGGGAAGGATGGGGGAAAAGAGGTGGCCAAGCCAAAGCTCTGAATATGTACTTTTAGCGTCACGGCCATGGATAGATATAATGTTTTGCATGTCGAACACGGATGCGATTGATGAGAGAGTGGGCTGTGGGGTCAGCGAGCGAGGAAGAGCCCAGACTGGACAAGGTCGAGCGAGAGGGCGTCAACGTGCTCGATACAGTCGTGCGCATGCGTACGCACGATGGAGTCGGTATCGCCGGCTTCCACGTAGGCAGCCACCTGCTTGAGTCGGTCCAGAAGCTGCGGTGGGAAGAGCAAGTCCTTCTTCTGCAGCCGCTCCGTCTTTGGCGCCTCCCCTTCGCCCGACGCAGCAACCGAAGGCAAGATTCCGCCTCCTGGAAGCCGCAGCGCCGAAAGCTTCTCCACCAACCTCCCTCCGCTTGCACTGCTATCCTGCTCTTCCAGCTGAAACCTCGTCCCGCGCACAAGCAGCGTGAGCAGCAGCATCGCAGCACGACGCAAATGCGCCACTTTCGCATCGCTAGTCGTTGCACTATCCAGCTTCTTCTGTTCCTCCGCTCTTTTCTGCTCCTTCTCCTCGTCGTTGGCATCCACGCGCTTGCCCTGTACATTCATCTTGACCGTCTCTTTGCCAGCATTCGGCCGGTGCACCATCTCGATCACCACAATGTCGATGCACACCTCGGCGAGCTGCCCCGCATATCCCTTTCTCGCCATCGCCATCGGTGCCGCTTCGATTACCGTGCCCAAGATTGAAACAAACGACGACCGCAACACATTCGGCAGCGCCCGATCGCGCAGCTTGACCAACAACGGCGGCACCACTGCATCGAAATGCGCAACCATCGCATCGCCACACCGCTGGATCACTTGGAGCAACGCTTCGCCCACCCGCAGCCGCTTTTCCACCTCCCGCGCCGCCAGGCCTTGCGATGCAAGCCCGTCATCCCGACCGATGTAGATGCCGACCAGGCGGGCGATGGGTTGGGCACCCCCGCTGGAGGTCAAAGCCGCAAGTCCTTGCACAGCGTTGAGGTAGAGGTAGGACTCTTCGTCCTCCACCGCGTGCAGGAAGATGTCCAGAATCGCGGGGATGAGCGCCGGATCGACCCTTACGACATGCTGCCCACCCGCCTTGGGGTCGTCCGATACCAGGCGACGCAGAAGAACCAAGCCGTGCGCGCGCACAGGCAGGATCGGATCTTGCAACAGCTTCAACGCTTCTTGGTACGTCTCTTGCGCCTGGGCGTAGGCAAGGGCTTTCGCCGAGGTCTCGCTCGTCGTCGTGGCGGGAGCGGGTGCAGTGGAGCGGAGGGAGTTGCGACGAGCCAGCAGGACCAGCTTGGCTTCCTTGGCGAGACCGCGGATCTCAGCGGAGGGGCTATCGAGCAGAGACTCGATCTTGTCCGCAATGACAAGGAGCATGGGCTGCGTCTCGCTGGAGAGTGAGGTGTCTGACTCGAGCAGCGAGAGGAGCAGGCTGAGCGCGGTCGTGACGAGCTCCTCTTCATCCTCGTCGTCTCCCGTTGGCTCATTGTCTTCTGCCGTTTTGGACGTGTTCGCTTCATTTCCTTCCTCCAGACTGGATATGCCAGCTTGTTGTTTGCCAGCCACGTCGAAGAGCGAGGGCATGGAGCCTGGCGGATTCGACGGCTTAGCCGAGATGAATGGTATCTCGGTGTTGTTTTCATCGTTTGGTGCAGCTTTGTCCTGCAGCATTTGTGGTGGTGCCTGGCGCTGGCTCGGTGATGAGAGGGAAAAGTCGATGAAAGCGAGCGTCGCAGGGACATCGCCTTGGAGCAGATCGGATCCAAATGCCTCTAGAAGCTGCAAGATCAGCTGCAGGTACAGCACCGACCTGGTCTCCGAGCCGGACTCATCCTCTGCTCCGACCACCTGCGCCCTCGAAGTCGCCTTTATCGCCATGTAGACGTTCAAGAAAGAGGGTAGCAGATGACGAGCCAGATCCTTACGATCTGCGCCCTTCAACAGCATCGCGAGCAGGCGTGGATCCGGCTGCAGACCCAGCTTGGCCGAGAGGTCTGGCGCGATCTTGGTCAGGTCGAGCTCGTTGTTGTCGCCTGTGCTGATCTGTTTGGCGAGTGCGGCTATGCTGAGGTCCTTGAGCAGTGTCGAGATGTCTTGGTCGTCCTGATCGGGCCGCTGACCATAGCGTACAGAGACGCCTTCCGGTTCCTCGCTCCAGAAGAAGTCACCTCGCGCGTTCTCGACATCTCCGTTGATCCGGTATCCGATACCCTTCTCGGCTGTTTGGACCGACTGGATGAGAGACTGAGCGCCGTGTTTGGCGTCGACAAGGCGCACCCACGTTTTGAGGAAGTTGGACACTTCAGCCTTGAGCCTGTCGGCGTGACCGCCAGACTCGAGCGATCTGACCTTGCCCTTGCCAGTGCCGCCTTGCTTAGCGTGGACGAAGTTGTACAGCGTCAGGAGCTGCGGTAAGATGGGCTCGAACAAGGTCGTGAAAAAAGTCGGCGAGGGTTCTGAGAAGAGCAAGAAGCTGGACAAGGTCGAGATGGCGCTTTCCAGATCCGCTGCTGACACTACGACTGTCGACGCGGACTGCGTCTCGGCAGACGACCTCGTCTGCTGCGTTTCCACCGCTGCTTGCATCGACGGACGGAACTTGGAGTAGACCCGATCGTGCATGGTCTGGGAGAAGAGTTTCGGGTGTCGTTCTGAGATTCGAGTGAGGACAAAGCCAGCCGCCCTCATTTGTTCCTGCGGCGGCGGAGTGATGTTCGAGGATGTGCTGAGATCGGGCGCCAGAATGTCGAGAAGGTTTGGCAGGATGATAGGCAGATACACGTCGATGGGCATGCCCTGTGGCGGCGTCAAGAGGAGCCGAGCACATTGCTCGAATCTTTTGAGCGAGTTGGTACCCGGTGCAGCGGTGCCTGTGCCTTCGTCTTTGCCGCCGAGCTCAGCGGTCTCGGCCGCGTCTGCACCGCCAAATGTGATGATGAAGAGCGAGCGCACCCCCTCGGATCGGAGAAGCTGAGCGCTCAACAGACGCGATGAGACCGCTTTGACGAAGGAAGGCGCGCCCAGCTTCGCATCCGAGTGCGCAATCACCGAGGACAGGGCAGACATGGCAGAGTGTGTTGACAGGAATCGAAGCAATTGCGTGGTTGCTGTCGACGTGCGCTTTTGAATCGCATCTTTGGCCGGTGTGGTCGTCGAAGGGGGCGCCGAGCTGATGCTAGGTCCGAAGCCCAACCGCAGAAGCGATGAGAGGTAGTCGACGATGCCAACGCGCAGCATGACCATGACAACGTCCGTTGGAGTAGAAGCAGTCCCGCGCGCTGCCGAGGTCTGACCTTGCGTGCTGAAGATGTCCATGAAGCTTTCGACCACGCTGAAAAGATCGGTCCGAGCCGTACAGAAAGCGTGCCTCGCCTGGGATCGTTCTCGCACTTCGGCGTCCTCGTCGATCTCTTGGAAGCGATTGTCGGGTGTAAGCTTGCTCGAACGAGCCTTGTCTTGAGCCGAAGAAAAGCTCTTTGGCGTCATTGAGAACAGAGACTGATCGAATGACTTGATGCGAGTCGAAAGAGCCCATTTGCAGGCTAGCGACTGCAAGGTCGTGACGAGCCTCACATCCTTAATGCCAAGCCCAACGTCTTCCGTAGCTTGAACACCTTTACGCTTGAAGCCTGACTGGCGGCCATCTTGCACGGCGACTCGCGAGCCGACATCCTTCTTCTTCTCAAGCAAGCCCGCATGGATGATGGAAAGCAGCCGCAGAGCTAGATCGCCTGTGGCCGCTTGAGGATCCGAGTGGAGCCGGAAGGACGAGAGCTCGGTGCAAGCGGCAATTGCGTGGCGCAGACGATCGCTCAATGTTGCGTTGAGAGCGTCTTGGTTCTGCTGCTGATGTTGAGCTCCGAGCTTGGTGCTCTTTGCGCTCTTTTGGATGCCGAGCTCGTCATCGTGAGCGCCTGTGAGGATGCTCGAAGCATGCAGCGCCTGGTTCAAGCTCTGGCGATATGAGACGTCAGAGCTGGATGCAGAGTCCGTCATGCCGAGCCCGTAGGTATCAAAGCCATCCTCTCAGCCTGGAGCGGATGTCGAGAGGGGGAATCTGGTTGACCTGATGGTGGTGGCCAGAAGGACAGCGACTCAGCATCGGAGTGCAAGCTGAAATGACAGGACCTTGTTTGGTTTCGGCGTGTTTCTGTGTTCTTCCTAGCGAGAGCAGACCCTGAACTGCCAAATTCGCCGTTGAGCGCCAAACAAAAAAAGCGCAGCGGTGGAGGCTGAGCGAGCGAGCGGGAAGTGAGCTTAACAGTCGATAGAGGACCATAACTGCATAGCCGGAAGCTGATGCTTGTGACAGGCCACAGAGTATCGACATCAAGCAAGAGACGCTCAGACGTTCGAGTGTGGATAACCAAAAGGACATAATCGAAGGTGATTTGACCGGAACTGAGCAAAGGGAGCTGGGCTTGGCATGCATACTGGGGTAGTAGAGCCACGACGATGAAGCGGGATCAATCTGCTCAAATGACGCACGGATTCTTGGCTTTGAAACGCTCACAGCCGACGTTGAATGGCGAAAGCCTCTGTCAAGCATCCATCAGACTGCTGAGCACCTCAGCATGACCAGCTCACACCCATGAGACAAGCCGAGCCGCTTCCGCACAGCTGGCGCGCATCTTCTATCCGCCACCTTCGGCCGATGTCAATCATGGCACAGTCAGGCTTGCCGCAGGAGATCAGGTATGCATGCTTAGATAGAGTCGAGTCTCAAAAGGGTGTGATGTACAGTGTCGGTGGTGTGGCTCCTCGTGTCTTGCAAAGGACCTCGGTTCGAAGCCAGGTGAAGCGAGGGAGCATGGTCCTTCCATCAGTATCCATGAATGGCTGGAGGGAGGTCTAGCTTTGGAGCTGTCTTTCCAGTGAGAGGAGTTCGCTGCATCGACACGAGGAAGTTCTATCTTCGTCCTCTCGACCGCGCTTAGAGGTTAGAAAGAACGGCCTGGGTGAACTCGTGGGTCTTGGACTTGCCGCCCATGTCGGCGGTTCGCACCTTGCCGTCCTGGATGACCTTGTACACCGACTCGGCGATCTGGTTGGCCTGTGTGTCGAGGCCGAGGTGACGCAGCATCATGGTAGCACTGAGGATCATGGCAGCCGGGTTGGCGGCGTTGGTGCCCATAATGTCCTTGGCGACGTGACGGCAACCGGGCTCGTAGAGCGCAAACTCACGGCCAATGTTGCAGCCTGGCACAGTACCGGGACCGCCGACGAGCGCAGCACCGATGTTGGAGACAATGTTGCCGTACAAGTTGGGCATGACCATGACGTCGAACTGCTGGGGCTTGGAGACGAGCTGCATCGAGGTGTTGTCGACAATCATGTCGTTCGAGGTGATGCCGCTCGACTTGTACTCCTCGGCAACCTTGCGGAATGTGTTGAGGAAGAGACCGTCACCGAGCTTCATGATGTTGGCCTTGTGGACGCAGGTGACACGCTTGCGGCCGTTCTTGAGCGCAAAGTCGAATGCGAAGCGCGAGATACGCTCAGCCTTGGCGCGCGTCGAGACCTTGAGCGACTCGACGACACCGGGGTAGGAGGAGTGTTCGAGACCCGAGTACTCGCCCTCGGTGTTCTCACGGATGATGGCAAAGTCGACGTCCTTGTGGCGGGTGGGGTAGCCGGGGAGCGACTTGCAGATGACGAGCGAGGCGTAGATGTCGAGCTGCTGGCGCATGGCGACGTTCCACGAGTTGTGAGAGCCGGTCTCGATGGGGGTGAAGAGGATGCCCTTGAGGCCGACCTTGTTGCGCTTGAGCGACTCCATGGCCTCCTTGAAGAGCGACTCGGAGCCGTGGGTCTCGCCGGAGACGTTGAACTGCTCCCACTCGACGGGGACGTTCATGACCTCGAAGATCTCCTTGACCGAATCGGTGATCTCGACACCGACACCATCACCGGGAATGAGGGTGACGGTGTAGACACCGCCGTACTTGGTGGGGCCCTTGGAGATCTTTGGTGTGCCGGCAGCGAGCGTGGTAGCCGGTCGGAGGACCTGAGGCAGGTTGGGGAGGACGAGGCCGGACTTGGTGGCCTGCTTGAGGGCGGGGGCGGCAGCCCTGTTGAGCTGTCGGAGAGAGTTCATGTTGATGGTATGATGCTGCGCAGGCGGTGATGGAGGAGAGCAGCGATGTAGGGCGAGCGGATGAGATGAAGTTAGAAAGGTGGTGGAGATTCGATCAGAACGAATGGCAGCAGCAGCATAGCAGCAGCAGCAGCAGCGGTCGGCGCGGATCACTCACGACGCAAACGAGAAAAAGAAGGAAAAGCTCGAAACACACACAGACTTGCACAGAGCGCCAAAATCCCCGAAAAGATAGCGATACGAGCCTGTCCAACGACGACGCACGGAGCCCAGACTCGATGGAATTTTTGCTTTTCCTTTTCGAAAAATCGGGAAAAAGGGCTGGAAATTCATCAACGAGCATCAAGTTTGAAGAAGAGCCTCAACATCAACGAGCCTGCCTGCCGCTCTCTCAGATCTTCTCAATTCGCGTCAGGTTTAGAACTCAACTTCTAAATGTCAAACAAAATTACCGCCAGAAATCGCTTTTTCTCTCAACCTGGAACTCCCCGCGATGGTTGCGAGCTTCAAGCTGCCGTGTGACTTTCTGAGCTGACCATCGACGAAGCGATTCACATATTGCTTGAGCTCGTTGACGTTGAAGAGGAACAGATTCGTAAGGCGAGGACGACTTCGAGGAAATCCGTCAGAGTAGAATGGACAAAGGGCTGCTCGGAGAAATCCGTGTCTTGCTTTTTGCGCAGGCAAAACGGTATTGACCGGCGTTGGTGACCAAGTCGCCGCCCACTCGCCGTCGTCGCCGTCCTCGTCGCCGTTGCATCCGGCCAATCTGATACTGCACAATCTCGTCCGTCAGCTCCGTTGTGATCCGCCCAATCCAATCCATTATGCCAGCGAGACTGCAGTGAGCATCGGGCCGTTCTTGCTGCAGATCATCGTGACACCGCCAGGCTGACATTGGCTACGCGCTGCAAGGGTACAGACCACCGGATGCTCGCTTCCAGCAGAAAAAAAAGTTTCAGCTGGCTGCAGGGCCATGTCTTCGGTTACGACGGAGATCACGGCGTCGCGACGCGTGGCTGGACACCAGGACAAGCACGCTGACGATCCCGCTTCTCCTGTCTGCTGATGGCGCTTGTTCTCGTCTTCGGCGTATGGCGGCTTATGACCAGCACCATACTCAGAAGCGCAAGATACTGCATTGGCCGGTGTGCGGAGGGCCTTCTCTTGGTCCATCGTCTGCGTTGGCTCTGTCCCAGCTCGGAAAACGCCGTCCGAGTTGATCCGCAGAGAGAAATTTCTCTTGGCCCGAAATTCCACGACGTCCAGACCCTTTTTGTTTCTTCTCAGCTGCACCGTGCACGCGAAGCTGCACCGAGAAAACAAAGTTCGAACTTCTCTTTCTCCAAAAGAGACCCTGCCTTGCCCTCTGCTCGCCAGCACCGAGACCGAGGACCGACAGAGCCGTTCGTGCGTCGGAACCATGCTGCCGCTCCTGTACCACCTGAACAGCTTTTGATCCCTTTGATGACCCGTCCGACATGGCCGCTTTGGTCCTTCGCCAAATTACAGTTGCGAGCTCGATCAAGACATAGATTGTACGCTCGTCTGTGCGTGGCTTGATGAATAACTTGTGCCACTTTTTGGCTGCGTGACATCACCTATCGCGGGGCAACAGCAAACGTTGGTTTCACGCTTTCCAAGCCGAGATAAGGGTCGAAGGCTGGCCCTGCAGAAAAATGATGCAAAAAACAGGAGAAAAAAAGCAGAAATCTAGGAAAAAGGGAAAAAAAAGAAAGAAATTGACCGCGTTTCGTGAGCGCAAGGCCTTGAGTTGCTTCGCGTCGACTTAAGCCCTTAATCCGAAACGACGAAAAAGCAGCGCAAAAAACGCAGGAGCATCATCAACTCTCGTCGGCTGCTTGTGCGTCTGCGTCTCTGCGATCAAGTCGAAAGGCCATTCCATCAAATCTTCTTCCTCACCACGTCTCCACACTCACTCCTATCCATCTTCGTCCTCAGGTGCCCCTCCCGACGTCGTCCTTGTCACAGCACGTATCGTCGCTGGTATCGACTTCAGCCCTTCCTCAACAGCGCGGTCATCCACCCCGTCTATTCTAACACAGAACAACCATGTTCGCCGCACCCGCCTTCCGATCGGCCAGCTCGTCGCTGGCCAAGCGCCCCACCATCGCCTCGTCAGCGCTCAAGCTCAACAAGATGTCGGTCCGAGGTCTCGCCATGCCCGTCACCAACGCTCCCACCTCGGCTTACAACAAGCAGAAGGGCTCCGACGGCAAGTACACCGTCACCATGATCCCCGGTGACGGTATCGGTCCCGAGGTGTCCAACGCGGTCAAGGAGATCTACCACGCTGCCAACGTGCCCATCAAGTGGGAGGAGGTGTCGGTGGCCCCCTTCATCAAGGATGGCAAGCAGACCATCCCCGAGGAGTCGATCGTCTCGATCAAGAAGAACACCGTCGCACTTAAAGGTCCTCTCGCTACGCCCATCGGCAAGGGTCACGTCTCGCTCAACTTGACCCTTCGACGAACCTTCCACCTCTTTGCCAACGTTCGACCATGCAAGTCGATCGAGGGTTTCAAGACTGCCTACGACAACGTCGACACTGTGCTCATCCGTGAAAACACCGAGGGCGAGTACTCGGGTATTGAGCACGAGATTGTGGATGGTGTTGTTCAGTCGATCAAGCTGATCACGTACGAGGCATCGGAGCGAGTTGCTCGTTACGCATTCCACCACGCCGAGCAGAACGGTCGCAACAAGGTTACTGCTGTTCACAAGGCGCCCATCATGCGCATGTCGGACGGCATGTTCCTGCACGCCTGTCGTCAGGTTGCCAAGGAGTACCCTCACATTGCTTACGACGAGGACCTGCTCGACCGCGCGTGCCTGCGCATCGTCCAGGATCCAGCACCGTACGCCGACCGCGTCATGGTGATGCCCAACCTGTACGGCGACATTCTCTCGGACATGTGCGCCGGCCTCATCGGCGGTCTCGGCCTCACCCCCTCGGGCAACATCGGCAAGGACGCATCGATCTTCGAGGCCGTCCACGGTTCCGCCCCCGATATTGCCGGTCAAGACAAGGCCAACCCCACCGCCCTGCTCCTCTCGTCCATCATGATGCTCCGACACATGTCTCTGTTCGACAAGGCCGACCAGATCGAGAACGCCATCTTCAAGACCATCGCTAGCGGCGAGAGGACCGGTGATCTTGGTGGAAAGCTCGGTACTCGTGCCTTCACCGACAAGATCATCTCGCGCTTGTAAGCCAACACTCAGTGCGGAGGCAAAGCATCACAATCAAGACACCGCAGGTTGATTTGAGAATGCGTCTTTTGCGCCTCTCGTCGTGATACTCCTCGACCAAAAACGTGGCCACACATGCAAGGATCTTCACATTTTGTAAATCATCTTTCCTCTCTTTCGTTCAAGACCATATGCAAATCACCCCGGTCTCGGCTGACACTTGCCTGTGCAGTCGTGCCGCGTGTGCACAGTCTTGAGTGGTGAAGCAGTATGCTGCGTCGAGCTCTTTGAGCCTTCTGATGACCTCGATTGCGTCCAACGGTCGACATGCTGGACAAGAGAAGAGGAGTTTCAGTGCTTGCGAAGGACATGCATACCCCGGCAAGG